TCCTCCCACTGCTAAAGACCCCTATGCGCAAGCGAATTATTGAAATAAAACAAAACCATATGTTAGTCCCAAAATGACCTAGTTTGTGTCGAGTGGACGTTAAACCCCATTTCTCTCTCTCTCTCTTGTTTATTACAATTTTAATTTCCAATATATTAAAATTATGATATCTTAAAATTTAGAATATTTACATATGAAGGAGGCACAAAAAAGTAAAAAAAAAAAAAGAAGTTTGTGTTCTTTCTGCCATGCATGTTTTTATAGCTACAGGTACAGCAGGTATAATTTGATGCTATTCACTTAGCCTTGCAAACTCGTATTTTCTCATTCAATGTATACCTTCTTGAAAATGCATTATACAATACAAGAATACTAAATTAAACTATAAAACATAGTGCTATCTCAAAAAGTATCAAACGATTTAATCAAATAACAATTTTTCGGATCACGAACTGCCATGACATTGCTGATGCTGAATGATAATCAGTCAATCTCTACTGTTAGCATTATTTATATTGCTGCTCTTTTAAAAGTGTAAGTCGGGTGGAAAAGAGCGAGAAGTCACGTGACGAAAACAAAACTCTGTAACAGCGTTTGGAAACTTCGTGGAATGAACGCTCTGGAGTTTATAACAGTATTTATTCATCACCAAGCAATAAAATATCGTAAATAATATAAAAGAAAGTTATTTTTTCAATAGTTATGTTAAATATCTGAAGACAGTATTTTTGACTGTTTTATGGAAAACCGAAATATCCCCCAGCTCTATGTATATATGCATATATTGCTGACCTCATTTCAATATTATGGTGCTTCAAGCAAGTGTTTTTATACCCCCACATTTTCATGTGGACGTATTATGCCGTCGCCCCTGTCCGTCCGGACGTTCGTTCATCCGTCCACAATTTGTTTGTGGACACTCTACAGGTCACAATTCTTATCCGATTTTAACGAAACTTGAAATATAGGTGTATCTCCAAAAGATCTCGGCTGCTTTCGATATTGGCATGTATCGGATCGAAACTTCATGGATTATGGCCCCTGTTTGTACGAAAAATCACGTTTTTAGCTTGTGGACACTATAGAGGTCACAATTTTTATCCGATTTTGTTGAAACTTGAAATATAAGTTGATAACCCAAAGATCTCGGTTCCTTTCGATATTCGCGCATATCGGACCTTAACTTCCTGAATTATGGCCCCTGATTGTACAAAAAATCACGTTTTTAGCTTGTGGACCCTATAGAGGTCATAATTTTTATCCGATTTAAAAAAACGTTTTATTATATCACCGTTACACCCTGAGGATGGCTGAGTTCGAATTTCATGAAAATCGGCCCAAAATTGACAGACAAAATGGCTGCCGTTCGTTCTCAAATAGCGTAAAAATATGGTATATCAAGGTTGTGGACCCTATAGAGGTCACAATTTTTATCGGATTTTGTTGAAACTTGAAATGTAAGTTTATAACCCAAAGATCTCAGTTCCTTTCGATATTCGCGCATATTGGACCGTAACTTCCTGAATTATGGCCCCTGATTGTACGAAAAATCGTGTTTTTAGCTTGTGGACCCTACAGAGGTAATAATTTTTATCCGATTTGAAAAACCGTATTATTATATCACCGACCGACAAAATGGCCGCCGTTCGTTCTCAAATAGCGTATAAATATGGTATATCAAGGTTGTGGACCCTATAGAGGTCACAATTTTTATCCGATTTTGTTGAAACTTGAAATGTAAGTTTATAATCGAAAGATCTTGGTTCCTTTCGATATTCGTGCATATCGGACCGTAACTTCCTGAATTATGGCCCCTAATTGTACGAAAAATCGCTTTCTTTTTAGCTTGTTCTCTATCCATCTCTCGAAAATGTGGGCGTATCCTGCCTGGCAGCCGCTGATTTCTGATATTTTGTCAATAGTGTTTTTTTTTATTATTTCGTAAGATATACATGTACATGTATACATGTATATATAATATATGGATATATGAATCATTAAAAATGACTGTCTCTCATTAATGTCAAAAATAACCATTTTGTCTGTAAAGTAAATATCAAAGGTGAAATAACTAATGAACAAAGAAATTCTAAATAAACATTTCAGATTCTTATGAACTCACAAACAATATGATATGTCATTGAAATTTATGTCTCATTCATGAATCATATACATGTATGTGAGATGTAGAAGCCTAACAAACGCAGCAAACTTTAGATTACTTGGTCTAGTGATCAAAAGTGTGTGTGTGAAACTATGAGGTCTGTCATTGAGTCAGTTGGTGTGGTTTCGATTCCCTGTTTGTACGTGACATGGAGTAGGGTCATCGGTCCAGACTCGTTGGGATTCTCAGGGTCCTCCAGATCCCTCCCACTGCTAAAGACCCATATGCGCTAGTGATTCATTGAAATAAATTTGAACCACATGTTAGTCCCAAAATGACCTACTTTCTGTTTCTGTTTGTTTTATTTATGGTGTGGTTCTCACATATTTCATGTACTCTATAAATAGATAATTAGAATAAAGAATTAGAAATACCAAAGGGTAAAAATTGAATTTCTATTGTTTGTGTAATTTGCTTCAGTTTCATGTTAATTTCGACCATTTTATTACATAGCATGTTTAACTGTAATAAAATTGTAATTAATTGATCTTGACACAAAAATATTTATAATGACTGTCATTCATATGTTATAAAGGCAGGTTTTATTCCAACTTGGTTTTATTTCCCTTCATGATAAATTTTGCTTTTTAATTTATCTCTTATTATAAGGGCCTCAATCTTGAGAATATAATTGATGAAGGAGAAATGAAAAGAGATTTACGCAATCTGATTAAAATACAGATCTATATTTTGTTTCGTTTTTTTATACTTTTGATGGCCTCTACTACATGAAGATCTGACCATTTGTAGTGGGAGGTCGCGTGAGGGGGCATACGAGCGACTTTTGACCCTATGATGTCAGACATTTGATTAACCAATCACCGTTTGTGTTTCTGGTGGGATACCCACAGTTCCGTGTGCTTCATGCCCTGCAAGAGCTAATCTCTCACATCAACCAGAACACATGTAATATAACAACTCTTCCAGATCCTAGTGTAGTACTAGTAGTAAAGACAAGTATTAAGTAAAAGAAGTTTTTTGAACTATAAAAACGAAAAGAAATAGGATCTGTGTTTTAATCAGATTGAGATTTAAGGTCCTACTTTTCTGCATACTGACTGGGCTAATATAATGAAGACAACTAGATGTTGTCCTTGCCTGGCTCTCCGTCCTGCATCCACAGACAAGTTAAAACCAAGCTAGAGAATTCCAGGGAACTATATCCACCGACACCGATATCGAAGCCCGGTCAACCGGGTTAGCATGTTGATGGAGGAGAAGCACTTTGTGGATCTGTTGCAATTTTTATTGCAGGTCTTTCTTTATGCCTTAAAAGTTATATAAACTATTAATTAGATATTTATTAACATGGCAAGACCATAATCAACTTTCAACCATAATCAATTCCACAGAATTGTGACCTGTATATTCTAGTTACTATATTGAAACAATTTAGGCTTATATTAATTTGCTTCCTTGTTGGTATGTTGAATATATAGACAAGTAATATAAGATATAAACAAAGTATAGTGATTAGTATAATTGCTCAAAATTGAAAAAAAAAGATTCTATATGGTTCAGCCAAATCTGTATTTTTTACATGTAGATGATAAAATTGGTGAAATGAAATGAAATAGGGTTTAACTAATGTTCTACATTAATTGTAACCCAGGTATCATTTAATCTTATGTATCTAGCACTAATTTCTTTCACATTCATTTGATATCCAATCTTTGTTTAAAAATTTGTAAAAACTGTTTAAAATCACCATAAATCATTTAATTTGTATTTCTGTCTGGTTTAAAGCTGACCATTCAATTTTGATAATGAGTGTCCAATTTAAAAGTGTTTAATTGCTCAATCACTGTTAAAAAATAAACAACCCAATTGATTAATAATTCATTTTTGAACAGTGGTCAGGAAATTAAATACTTGTAAATTGGACACTCGTTATCAAAATTAATCAGTCAGCTTTAAACTGGACACAAGTACAAATTAGATCATTTTTGGTGATTTTAAACGATTTTTACGAATTTTTAAACAAAGATTTGATATTAAACGAATGTGAAAGAAATTAGTGCTAGATACACAAGATTAAATGATACCTGGGTTACAGTGTTTTCTGCTCACCTACTGGGCTAATGAAGACAGGCATATGCAATACAGTGTGCTATGACTATGAGGGAAATTTTGCACAGACAGTGGCGCTACGACCTACTCTGATATTGAATTCTAACTGCTAAGGGATCTTTTATGTGCATGCCAATGTGTACACAGGACCTTGAATCTTCATCCCATCTGAAGGACTAGACATTGTCTCTTGCCTGGCCCTCAGTCCTGCTCCACTGACAAGGAGGAACCACGCTTGAAAATTCCGATAAATTTTCTCGGCCAATGCACGGATCGAACATGGGACCTCCAGGTTAGCAAGCCAATGTCTTACTCACTGAGCCAATGTGGTTCCCGATTTAATTGGTAAATGTCTTGTTTTTTTGGCTTGATTTGTTGCATTTTGCGATATATATTTTATTTTTTAAATAGATCCTCTGATTATCCCAAAATGATTTATCCTCCACTTGACACAAACTAGATCATTTGGGACGAACATGGTTCAATTTTATTTCAATTATTCGTTTGTGCGCAGGGGTCTTTAGCTGTGGGAGGAAACTTGAGGGCCCGAAGAAAATCCTTGAGTCTAAACAGATGACCTTACTCCCTTTCTCGTACAAGTTACAAGTGTGGCTGTGGACTCTAAACCATGCCACGTAACTCAATAACAGACCTTTTGATACAAAGTGTATGCGTTAAACCATTCGCTCCCCTCCCCCCCCCCCCCCCCCCATAGAATGTGAAGATAAAGCAGTTTATGTAATCTGGGTTTTTTTTATTATTTCAGACAACAAGATGATAATTTTTTCTCAACAGTACGATTGGATCCCCCTTTACTGGATTTTTCTGAACAGTAAGTAGCTTTCTGTGTAATAGTAATACAAAATTCATTTCATTTCATTTTTCTGTACCTAATGAAAACTGGGAAACACCATAGAGTGTAGTAATACTACTAGTATTTTGGTTTCCCTGGCAACCATTATTTATATATGATAATCATGATACAATTAGTTCATGGTATCAAGGTATCTGAAAATAGAAGAACTGATGGACAACAATTAATCTTCTACTTTTCTGCACCAACCGGGCTTATGAACACAGTGAATCGAAATGACGATTAGTGCCTGTATATAGTAGTTTTAGATTGATTACATATTGGTGGATAGGCTGACCTTGGTTCGATTATTAATGAATGTTTTTATTTCAGGCCAGTGGGGATGCCCCGTATGGAAAAAGTTACAGTTCAAAATACAGATACAAAAAATATGCTACATTTAGTTTCAATATCAGGCAGTACAGTTCACTTTCATTGTTCATTTTTTCAAGACAAAGTAAGAAAACTTTAATTTTACTTGCATCCAAACTAACAACCCGTGAATAGATCTCAAGCACCCATCTGCGCTAATGGAGTAAGAAAATGTTGACATGAATTGATTTTAAGACTAAATAGCCGACATTTAATTGATCATTTTCTATCCGCGGTGTCGTTCAACCCACCCATCAAGTTCTGTAGGGTTATTCGTTTGGACGCGGAAGTGTTGTTATTTTTGTGACACTAGCAGACTAATGTGTCGATGATTACTCTCGCAAATTGCATATATGGATTTGAATGATTGGGGTGTAATTATTCACACAGAGTAACCATACCCCTCCATCATTATTTAGATAATAGATGAAATTATAACGGGGCACACTGATGTAGATGGCTACTCTCGTAAATTCCAAATATGGATTTGCCAGTTGAGGGATAATTACTCGCACAGAATGATTTGCATGGGTAATCATTTGCCCAAGCGTTCTTTGAGTATGTTAAAAAGATTGAGCAACAAGCTACAGCAGTAGATTTGCTAAAAAAACAGAGTGAACAGAATGTGGAAAAGATAAGAAGTGTAGAAACGGTAACAAAATTTTCTGTATTTTCATCAATCTTGATCACCGAGACTTGACAAAGGAGGGTAGAATAACACTATGTACTGTAAAGTCGGAATTGAATGTTATTTTCTCCCCTCACGTCTGTTTGACAAGCCCTTCTAAACCATTGTGTTGTTTAATTTTGTAGGTGGTGCCCCCTGGTGGGAATACAACATTTGATGTGGTGTTTTTAGCCCGTCAGGTGGGCAATGTAGAAAATACACTTTATATCCGTACATCAATAGGCTATTTAAAATATCAGGTAAGATTCTCGTGTTAATATTCATATGGGTATGGGAGGGGGTGCAGGTTGTTCGCGTTCTACATCAGTAGGCTATTTAGAATATCAGATAAGATTCTTGTGTTAATATTCAGGGGGTAGGTGGGGGTGGGAGTTGTGGGAGTTCTAGTTGTCAAACGTTCAGGACACTAGAGTCTTGACTAGATATTTCAGACATAGGAAACGAGAGGGCAGAATGGCAGCACTCCCTTAAAAGAGTAGCAGAATCTGGCCATTTTCAGAATGTTAAAGATAATACATGCTTTTTCAAAGCGAATTAAAGAACACTTTGCCGATATTAATCATAACCCAGTAGGTGTAGAACATTAAACCACATTTCATTTCATTGGGTCTACTTTTGTCTATGTTTGATTGATGTTCTTATTTTTTTCTCAACAGGTTTTTGGGGTAGGGGTTCCTAATCCATACCGATTAAGACCCTATTTAGGTGCAAGGGTACCAGTTAACAGCACCTTTTCACCTCTAATACAAATGCATAATCCACACAGCACTAAATTACAGGTAAGTCTTATTTCATCTCAGTTAGACCATCTTTCAACTCAGACATCTTGGGTAGACAATCTATCATCTCGGTTAGACAATGACGTGCACGTAAAAGAACCCTTGCTCAGATAGAAAATGGCGTGCACATAAAAGAGCCATGGCCCGGTAAACATCTCCGATAGACAATGGTGTGCACATAGAATTTGATATAAGAGCAGGCCGTAGCGCCACTGTCCTCAAAAATTTTCCCTCACAGATGCCATATGCCCAACTCCATTAGCCCAGTCGGTACAGAAAAGTAGGACATAAACCCTATTTTTTTTATATTACAGGTATTAGAAATGTTTTCAAGTGAGGGAGATTTACACCTGGAATTACCGTCAGGTGAAAAAGAGGCTGGAAAAGAACTATGGGTAAGGATGTTAAATTGAAGCACTCTATAACACTACAACTCTCTAAAAGGAATGTCCCAACCATTTCCTCCATACAACAAATGAATTATTGAAATAAAGATTGAACCATATATCTTAGTCCCGAAATGCCTTAGTTTGTATTGAGTGGACTTGGGATGTGAAACCCTATTTCTCTCTATCAGTAATATGGAAGTTAAATCTCGCAACATGATTACTATTTTTAGTGCCATACTTGTACTTTAAACTATAAAATACTCATCAGTATCAAATCTAGTTGAAAAGACCAGATCATTTAATACGTATAGAGTCTATTGATCAGATTTTGCTTAGAAACTGTTTATTTGTAAACATAACATAAACTATTATATAGGTCTATAGATAGAACACACTATGCTCCACATGTTGCATGTACCATGATAAAAACAGACCTATGGCTGTCACTTGTTATTTAATTATATCATCTTTATCAAAACGTTTAATCATAATATAAATTTTATTGCGACATTTAGGTGCAAGTAAAGATATAATGTACATGAATAATATAAATATCTACTGGGCAAAGACTGAATAAGAAAGCTTATTATTACTGCTACATATATTTGACGTACACGTCTGATAAAATTGGGACAAATTCACACGATTTCCCCTTTTAAACAGGGAAGTATCGGGGCAGCTATTCATATATATACAACTGGCGGTAGTTTTTTCTTTGATGTCCATAGCAGTTATATCTCATAACAACCTGTCATGACATCATCATAGGTTGATATATTCGGTTCATATCAACCGCTGATGACGTCATGACAGGTTGATATTTCATAACGCTTATGACGTCATCGCAGGTCGATATATTCGGCTCATATCAACCGGTTATGACTTACATGATCGAAATAATACAAAAAACACAGAAATAATTTTTTTATTCTTTTGATAATTAAATATTGTTATGGTACAGTTTGTAGCATTCAGAACTGAAATAGACGGCGTACTTATCGGCATATTTAAATCGGTTATCCATATTCCATGTCTAAGATATCTTTCAGAATTTTATTTCCGTCCACATTTCGATTATTTCTCCACACACTCCAAGACTTGAAATTATTTATTGCCCAAGAGTTCCTTTGTAAAGTATTTTTGGGTACAAATTTTCTTCAGGCTTTGGATAGATCCTCATCGATATTTGTATCCATATCTTTTCCATATGGTGCTGAACGGAGGGCATGACAAGGACAGCTGTCTAGTTCTTCGGATGAGACGGAAAACCGAGGTCCTGTGTATATATTGGAAAGCACGTAAAAGATCACCTGGCAGTTGGAATTCGATATAAGAGTAGGCGATAGTGCCGCTGCCCGGGCAAAATTTCTATCATAGCACACTGTATGGCATATGCCCGTCTTCATTAGCCCAGTATAGGAGCAGAACAGTAGGACGTTAAACCCCATTTCATTTCATTTATTACAGAGCGATGTTTCTACTATGTTTATCTAATCTTTTATCAAACAGTGATAAAATATAAAATATAACGTGACAATATATACATATAAAAACCATTACTTAATACTGAAGATTTGATAAGAGAAGCCTACTTGAAACGTCGCTCAGTAAAAAGCAGTAATTGTATTCCATGGAATTGTGTCCTGTATATTCCAGTTCAATTACTAAATGCCATTGAAACAATTTATTTTTCAAAACATCAACGTTTATCATTTTGAAATCTACTTGAAATGAACAGATCCGTTTCATAGGTCTATTGATTAGATTAAAATACAATGACTCAAGTATCTACAATTTTTAAATTCATCAATTATTAAAGTATCTATCTGTCATTTGAGGGTTCAATTTCGCTCAATATTTACACATGTGATAAATTGAAAATTCCTCAACATTCGTCATCCACTTTAAACGACATAGAGGATATTGTCATCGCAAGACAGTGTCACCTATGGTTTTTTTGGAATTAATTTGAGTACATTTTAGTGCGAATTTTGCCCTGGGAAATTTTGTACATTGCAAAAAATGCAAATCATGCACACAGACGTTAAACTGTAATTAATTAAACTTTAATTAATACAAGTAAGTGAACGACCTCCCTAGAGATTAAAATGTCAATAAATTCTCATATTGATGGTTTACATCTATGATATATATATATTTACATATACTACATGACCCCCTTTATTATAGCATCAATAAGTCTATGTGACCTAGAATAAAATTTTGTCATCATGAATCAGTTTTTAATCATACTAGTTGTTGAATATGCATATTAATTTAGAAATTCTAACATATTAAAGATGCATTATGTAAGATTTCTATAAACAGCTGACAGTTCTCGCTATACATGTAATGGTTAAAAAATAGATAATGAAAAATGAATATATTGAAAAATTATTGGAAATTTCAGTCAAATTATTTTATTGTGAGTGAAGTTATGGCTGTTTGAAGAATAGTTTAATCTTGATTGTCATTACTACCATTGTTACAATAATAAACAAAGTCTTGATTATCCATTTTTTTTTATTAAATTATTAACTTGCGATTGTGTTTTAATCCGTTGAAAATCTCAAACATTTGATGGTCTAGAGTTGATTATCGACTTGTCATGTGAATAGATGTCTAATTAATGATTTATATAACATGAGACCAAAGAAATGAATTGCAATAGGCAGATTTAGCTTTTACATACTGAATCTTTAAGCTCTAGTATATACAATATCCTTGAATAATACCCATTGTTTATCTGTGTATGATGTCACTACTGTAAACATAAGCCATTGTGGTAGCCAACTAATTTCAGAATAAGAGTTTTCAAATGTATTTGAGAAATGTTGAGGTTTATAAGATTCCATAAATTTGTAGATGACGACAACATAGAATGTTTTAACTCTGTGCATTGTCTGAGTGTGGTTGGTTTCTATCAATGATCGGGAATAAAAATATTGCTTATTTAACAAAGACTGTACTGGTTGACTTTTATAAATTAATAACAAGATTGTTACTTTAACAAAGACTAGATGTGGTTGGTTTTATAAATTAATAACTTTAAGTAGATATTTAGATTAAAACATTGTTTATGTTATTTTTTTCTTGTAGGAGATTCAGCCTTTTGAAACAAAGTCAGTGATGCGAGCTAATTTTATAGCTCGGGTAGAGAATAATCATACAGCCTTTATTCGTATAAAAACAAGCGAAGAAAGTCAAGATAAATTATTAATATTACCTGTAGAAATAGAGGTGTCTTCAGGTAAACTTAATTAATGGCTCCAGTAGTCTCTAATAACCAGACAATGTAACTGGGAACTTAAAGAATGGCTCCAATAGCCTCAAATCACCAGATAATCTAACTGGGAACTGGGCATCAAGGGCTACTCATCTTGGTCTTCTTGTGGATGACGCTCTTTCAGATATCCAATTGGTCTTGGGTTTGATCCCAGGGTTACCCCTTGTCAGTGAATGAAGGGCCTGGAACAGTGTTTAGTCATTCAAATGGAAGGAAAATCCAGTGTCCCTTGGGGGGTTAGGTCCGAATGGTTAAGGTGTGTGCGTTGCTTCATAAGGTCTGTCATTGAGTCAAGTTGCGTGGTTTTGATTCTCTGGTTGTACGTGACAAGGAGTAGGGTTGCCTGTCCAACCTCATGGGTTTCTCCGCGTCCTCCGGTTTCCTATCATTGCTATAGATCCCTACCCGCAAGCAAATTATTGAAATGAAATTGAACCATATGTTAGTCCTTGTTTGTGTCAAGTGGACTTTAAACCTCATTTCTCTTTCCCTCTTTCCTCTTAACAAGGATGTTAATTAAGGTCCCATTTCTTTTCAACCTTCTACGATCTATTCTCTCTTTATATGCTGCTATATTACTGTAAAAATATCATTTAATGATTGAAATGAACTGTTGTGTTTATTCCCCCTTGTCCGTTTTCATTAGACCAGTTGGTGCAGAAAAGTAGGACGTTAAGCGCCATTTCATTTCATATCCCCCAAATAATGTTAGTTTGAATTTGTTTACAGAACCTGGTATATATTCACCTGTTGAAATGATAGATTTCGGAATTTTACGAACGTTTGATGAACCTAAATCTGTTAAACTCAGCTTATTAAATACTGGATCTTTACCAATACATATCAGTGTAAGTAACATTACATATTAGTGTAAGTAACAATACTTATCAGTGTAAGTAACAATACATATTAGTGTAAGTAACAAGTAACAATACACATCAACATAGTCCCCATGTACAAATTGGCATGTATGGAAAAGAACCCTTGGCAGTAGGAATTCAATATAAGAGTAGGCTGTAGTGCTGCTCTCTGGGCAAAATTTCCCTTATAGCATGCCTTCATTAGTCCAGTTGGAGCAAACAGTAGTAGGTTAAACCACAGATAATGTGAGTAGAATCAAATGTTTTAGATCTCTGGAAATCTTGTTTGCTTGACACCTTTCGATATAGTTTGAAAAGTTTAGCAAAATTTAAATGTTGAAGATTTGTAATAAAATATTTTTTATGTTTTTTTTTTACAGAGTATAGTAGTATCTCCACCTAATGATGCTATCAGTATAGATTTTAGACCAAGTAAAATTCCACCAGATGATAAAAAACAAACTACTGTAGCTCATATCACTTATAAAGGTATGTCTCTAATATTCTACACCAAATTATTTATCACTAGCAGTTGACCCTGGGAGCACGGGTACAGTCATGAACCGGAAGTGGTAGCCATCGCCACCAAGCCTATGTTTTTCCCCAGTCCGCGCAACCCTTATACACCAAATTTAAGCCGTTGGACATTCCTAGTGGAGCTGCCAACCCTGAACAGACAAACAAACAAACGACAGTCACAAATATTAGTATAGATTGAGTCATGTGGTGTGGTTTTGATCCCAAGCTTGTTTGTGACTGGAAAATCTGCCTTCCTCTTTCCACAACTTATTGAAATGAAAGCGCATCATATGTTAGTCCCGGACAAAAAAAATCTCTCTTTCTCCTATTTTGGTTTATTTTTTTAATTAAATATTTAATAATCATAATCAATTTGATTAAATTTTAATGTGGATTTAGCCTTGAAAAATTAAATATTGTCCAACAAAAATCTTGATTTTCTTTTATCCCCTATTTGTATTTGATATATTTTGTGTTTATTACAGCTGTTAAAGCCTTACATCCCAGACAGTGGTCGGGAAAAATTATCATCAGATCCAAAAATAATCTACATAAATTAGTCTTGCCATACCAAGCTAATGTTTTACATGGGTATGTATGTTCAGATTCTAAAGAATATTTAATCTAAGAAAAGTTAAAAATCTGAATCTGTCCATAGTAGAAACAAGTATAATCACCCGTGAACCAGCCATCTTTTAATTATGATGTTATATCTGTCAATCGATGCCCATATAAAACATTGAAATCCGTCAGTTGAAGTGCATATCAAACATTGAAATCTGTCAATCTGTGCTCATATCAAACATTCAAATCCATCAATTGATGCTCATATCAAACATTCAAATCTGTTAATCGATACTCATATCTGTTAATGGATGTGCATGTTTCATTTTGTATTGTCCCAGAAATGTCAAGCCTGGTTGTCACTTGCCAGGGGTGAAGCGGACCAGGCATGGCAGCTGGAATTTGATGATGTGTAGGCAGAAATGTTGCTGGCCACCAAGAATTTCTCCCCCTTACATTGCACTCTCAATCATTGTCCATTGACATAGAGAATGCCAAGGGGGGCTAGGGGGCTAGATGACCAAATGGTCTCTCATTGAGACAAGCGACATGGTTCCAATTCCCGCTTGTACATGACCAGGGGTTGAGTTGCCTGTCCAATCTCGTGGGTTTTCCCGGGTTCCACCAGTTTCCTCCCACTGCTAAAGTCCCCTACATGCAAGCGAATTATTTAAATTAAATTGAACCTTATGAGAGGTTCAACTTCATTCCATGTTTTATCTTCCAATAATTTTAATATATTTTTTATTTTGTTTCAGGTCGATGGTGTATAATGTTAACATGACATATTTCTTCAGTCTAAAACATATACATAATGTCAGCAGACCTCTCGCTTTTACCAATACTTTTAACTTTTCACTCGTAATATATAACGTCAGTCTCCCTCTGTCAGCAGCACCTTATTTCTCGGTAAGTTATTAACCACAATGCATATTTACTAAAATACACTGGTTTATAGCTGGTCTCCAAGACAGTGGTCTTGACTATAGCACTATATTATAGGACTTTACTATATCACTGTTGTTGGTATCCACTCGTGTTATAGCGAGTACCCTATACAATTTAAAAATGAAGAGTTTGGATCTAAATTGCATAGGGTTTACTCCATTGTCAGCTCAGAACGAGTAACACAGAATCAAATCTAGTCACTGTTCTGCCAGTCGCTAAAACATAGCATGGTGTGAGCATAAACTTGAAGTAATCAAATGTTTGACCTATGGTAATATTGATCGATATAGTATATTCTGTTGACACAGATCTGCTTGCCTGAAATTCTTTTAAGGAATTGAAGAAATCAATTCCAGAATGTGTTCTGTCAATTAACCTGTAAAATATAGTATATAATTCAGAAATAAATTTGATACGCTGGATAAAGATCACAAAAATATTTAATTTTAAATGGATAAAATTTTTTTTTTCTTCAGATTTTAAATTTTAGTGATCCTATGATTATTTTACCACAACAGACAGCCATACCATTTATAGTAATGTTTCATCCAAACGCTACACAGCTTCATTTTAATACAGTCCTTACACTACATACTAATACATCCGTCTTTCATATTCCATTAATTGTCTATAATGGACTCTTCAAGGTAAATGAAATTCATATTTTCTTTAAAGATACATTATGTAAGATTTAGATAAAGAGGTGACCGTTGTTGCTATAAAAGTTCCAAAATAGAATATGTGAATATACTGAAAATTTCATTTAAATTACTTTATTCAGACCGAACTAGCCACAGTACTTGACAATCGAGTCAACTGTAGTCGTTGATTATGGGATTGTCATGTGACAAAAATGTCTAAATAATAATTTATATAACATTTGAAGCCTAAATAAAAAACCTGTAATAGGCAGATTTAACTCTTGCATGCTGCATATTTAATAAACCATAACCTTTGAGCACTTGAACCGCTCAAAACTACTGCTCATTTCAGTTGCTGTGAACTATTTTAGGACCATGTAGGGAGCAATAGTTGGACACTCATGATCAAGGAAGAGTAGTTTGGGACACTCATGATCAAGGAAGAGTAGTTTGGACACTCATGATCAAAGAAGAGTAGTTTGGACACTCATGATAAAGGGAGAATAGTTTGGACACTCATGAGAGACTAGTTTTGTGCACTTTCCTCGAGCTGGAAGTGACAATGATTAGGGTTGTCTGTCTGACCCTACGGTTACCATAAGTTTCTAAAGACCCCTACATGCAAGTGAATTATTAAAATAGAATTGAATCATATCTTAGTCCAGAAATGGCCTAGTTTGTGTCGAGTGGATATTAAACCCCATTTCTCTCTCTCTCTCTCTCTTTGTAACTAAATGTACGGAACCTTATTTTTTATATTTCATGTTTCAGGTGATTCATCATCGACCAGAGAAGTTCAAAGGTCAATTAGATTTTGGTACTATGGGAGTCGGGGAATCACGTAGTATGACTTTTACAGTTAGAAATGATAATCCTGTAGAAGTAAGTCAAATAATATTGAAATCTTTTATGGTCTAAAGTATAAGAGTTTTGTACTGCACCAGGTAAATATAATCTAGCCGTGATGGCTCAGTGAATAATATTCTATCTTGCTAACCAGGAGGTATCAGGTTTTGCTCCCATAGTTGATCGAGAAAGCTCCCCAGGATTTTCCAGTGGGATTTCCCCTTGTCAGTGGTGAAGGATAGAGAACTTAACAATTGGAATCCAAAATAAGATTAGGCTGTTGTGTCGCTGTCTGGTCAAAGTGTCCCTCATAACACAATGTATGGTGTAAACCTGGGTTCCATTAGCTCAGTCGGTGCAGAAAAGTAGGACGTTAAACCCTGTTTCATTTCATTTTATTTCTATATCAAGTTATATTGGGTGAATATACATCTAATATGAAACAGACTATAATTTTATTCTAATGTTTATTTATCAGGTTATACTGGGTGAATATACATCTAATATGAAACAGACTAAAGTACGTATATTAGGTATCGAGAAGGGAAATGGTACAACTTTAACAAGAATACACAATCAATCAGAAATAGATACAGACCCTGTAAGTTATCTCCCCTTTAAAGTAACGCAATCAGAAATAGATATAGACCCTATAAGTTAATATTATATCTATTTATCTTATTGTCTTTATGGTTCTGATTTTCTACACTACTTAAGAAGTAAGCTTTGTACATTTCCTTGCTTTTCCATTGATACATAACTAAAAACATGACACAACCATAAAACTTGTTTGATGTTAAAGATGCATTATGTAAGAGCTTAATCTGCTTCAAATATTATAGAAATTATTAATTAGACATTTCTTAACATGACACGCCCATAATCGGTTGTGAAGACCATTGGATGATTGTGATTTTGGACAGACTGAAACAAGGTCGCTATTTGATAATGGATAATCAAGACTTTTTTTTATTATTGTAACAATGGTAGCAATGAAAATAGGGACTACACTATTCTACAGACAGACATAACTTTGCTCAGAATAAAGTAATTTGACAGAAATTTTCAATATATTCATTTTTCATTATCTATTGAAAATATTATAGCAAGAATGACCAGCTCTTTCTAATGCACCTTTAGGTAACATTGATTCTTAAAAAAGGTGTTAGATGGATTTTCCACCCTTTTTTCATCCCATGTCAGTAGTACATCATGGGGCACCTAGCATGGATAAATATTTAGTCTTCCGGATGAGACAGAAAACAAGATCCCATGTATACCATTGTCAACCAATCAAAGATCCCCTGAGAGTGGAAAATTGAAATAGGGAGTAGACAGTAGCACTGCTGTTGTAAAATTTCGATAATGGCACTTAGCATGGTATATGCCCTTTGAAATCAGCTGGATTGATACAGAATAGGTTTAAATATTTTGTTTTGTTTTTTGTTATAGTTAACAATTAAACCATATCATTACGCAGTATTCAGTGTGGATGTTATAGCGCCTAGTGAGGAAGGGGCGTACGCAGCAGAAGTTATGATTGTCACACAATTTCAAGTATGTAATAATACTCTTATATATTGTAAATTAACTCTTTTATTAGTATTTTTAATTCATTTAATTCTTGCTATAACATCACATGTTTTTGGGGTTTTTTTTTGATTTCAAGAAAATTGAAAAAGTGTATTGTTTACTTTTTGGAAAAAATTATTCCTACCCTTTGACTGCCAAGTTCCTCAATGTTATGTAGCTTATTTTAGGCTTTTGGACTGGTCACTTGTGTTCTGGGCACCGCAACGTTGCTTTCTTGGTTTATCACCAATATTCCACACCTTGTGGTGCCAACAGTTGTTGACAAAATGTCTGGACGTAAACTAGTGAAGGTCACTGCTGGAGAACCAGACACTGCAGCGAGAAATCAGGCTGCTATTGTTTTATGGGTGAAGACAAGATTTAGATGACGTTTTTCTCTGACAGTTAAGTAGTATGTTTTTAACGTTTGCTTACAGACCAGAATTAAACTAATTATTTATATTTTTTTTTATCAGGATTTATTTATACCTATGACTTTAAGAACAGCAGAAGGAAGTCTTTATGCCATTCCAGATAAATTTGTATTTGATAGAGTTTATCCTGTAAGTTTCTTTTTTTTTGACTATGTGTAATTAGCTGTACCCCAGTCCCCACCCCCTATAATTTATATATTGCTGTTGACCCTGTCAGTTGCATAACCAACATGGCGGCAAGTAAGACGCACGGTAACCCGCTCCTCAAAAATGTTTGTTAAACATCCTGTGTAGCTCAATTTAGCAACGGATTATCAATAGGACGTGCATAGGATAACTAAATGAGGTAAATATTCTCCATATAAAGTTATAAACTTTTGTGATTTAACGATGACAGTGAAATTAATAAAACAAAAACAATGAGTGAAGACGAAGTGAAAAGTACTAACAAGCACTCATCATCAAGGTTCAATTCAAATGGAAAAATGAACAGACACAGCGACTCCAGTCTTGCAAGTGAGTCGGAAGAAGTATGCAAAATTCCTCGTCTACAATCCCTAAACGAAGATGATCCAGAAAGCTGCTTTATTGACAAAAATGATATAAAACAAATGATTGATAACGCAGTGGAAAAAGGTATATCAGCCGCAATTACGCAACTTGAACATGACTTTAAACAATTCATAAACAAACGATTGGTTGAAGTTGAACATCGTGTGACTGACATAGAAGCAGTCCACGATACAGTAGGACGAGATATAGATAATTTTGAAGAGCAAGTGTCTAACATCGAATCACATTTGAGTGAGGAATCTCAGAAAATAATATACTTAGAAAATAAACTGAACAATCTCGAACAATACAGCAGAAAGTCACATTTAAGTATATTTGGTTTAAAAGAATCTGCAGATGAAAACTGTGTGGAAATGGTTAAATCACTTTTTAAAGATAAACTCAACATCACAGATGAAATAAGTGTTGATGCAGCACACCGAGTTGGTCAAGTCAAGCAGGCAGACGACAAACCTCCGAAACACAGGGGTGTGATAGTAAGAATTGTTAGGTGAGATGATCGTCAAAAAGTTATCAAACATCGAAAACTTTTAAAACATTCTGGTATTTCGATAGCTGAAGATATGACTTACACTAATGTTAAACTTCTGGAAGAGGTCCAATCGCACACTGAAGTTAGCACGGCAAGGTTTGCCAACGGCAAAATTTTTGCAGTTGATAAATCCGGTCTAAAAATTCGAATCCAGATGCACATGAATATAAGTGAAGAGATAAAGAGAATAAAACACAAATTAGCTAGAATCAAAAAATGATGATACAATCTTAATTCACAATATTACACCTCTAGTATAATGATAAAAAAATCATATACTATTAGTTGTTTCTACGTCCATCCTTTATTCGTAATGTTTAACATGATTTAATATCAATGTACCGAAAGTCTTCATTGTGCCCCCATCCCACTTTTCTCATCTAGATTATCTATGTTTAAAAGAAAAACTGAGATTTGTTTACTTGTTTGTATAATGTAATCACGTTTAGTATATAGCTAACACATCGCTCTTATATTAATCACTACTCACTACTGACTTAGTTTAACGAGCGCCTGTTTACATCTCTAAAAGGGCCAAACGGTTGATTATTCATCAATTATCCTATCCACATTTTGGCTTACATGATCATTTTATACCATTCTTATCATCTTGATATATAGTATACTTGTTTCCTCTTATAAAAGGTTGCTTTTGAGCTCGTATGTATTCGTATTTTGAAATTTTGTTTCATATTGTTATTTATTTATTGTGTTTATCGTGTGTATGTACATTTCCGTATATATGTTATATTTTGCCGTACACTTAACACACCCTCTAGAAACTACCCATACTTATAAATCCATAATAGGAATAGAACCACACCCTTCCCCTTCCTTGATCAAAGTAACAGGGTGCATCCTAGACAAGTAGATCTAAACCCTATCTTTATTGAGAGAAGGGGGACGTGTGGGGTTCATATTAGATACTATAATATACTGGTTGATTTACTTATATATTTGCTTGTAATGTAATGAGATTCTTACTTTTAAAAATTTTCACCAGCTGTTTAGAAAAGATAGGAATTTCAGTGGGGGAGGAATTCTAGTGTATGTTGATAAGAAACTATCATGTAGACGAAGATCAGACTTAGAATTTAAGGACGCTGAAATAGTTTGGGTTGAAGTGAAGTTAAAACATGATATCATATTGGTAGCTACTGCTTATAGACCGCCAAACTCGTGCGTTGAATTTTGGTTATTTTTAGAATCATCAATAGAACTAGCTTATCAATTCTCAAAAAATGTAATCATAATCGGGGATCTTAATTTTGATCTTTTAGGTCTAAAAAATGGTCAACTCTATGATTTGATGCTAACAAACAATCTGAAAAATATCATTTATGAACCAACTAGAGTTACCGCTTCAAAATCATCCTTGCTAGACGTGATTCTTATTCAAGACGAGATTAAGATATGTCTAAGTGAAACTATAGATATTGATAAGAACATATCAGACCATAAAGGTGTTGCTGCGGTTCTGGACTTGTTTTGAACGAGAAATTGTTTTATACAAGCTAGCAGACTATGAAAAGTTAAATAATCTTATTTCTGATTTTAATTGGGACGAAGCGCTAACTCCTTTTGGCTTAAATAACACAATTGATATCTTCTATTCAATTCTTACGAAATTTACAAACGAATGTATTCCCAGGTAGAAAGTAATTATTGGACCTTCGGATAAACCCTGGTTTAATTCAAGTCTACGTAAGGAGATTCGGATTCGTGATCGTCTAAGGAAGCGGGCCATTCAAACAAAATGACCTAGCCATTTAGTGAAATACAAATATCAACGTAATAAAGTTAATAATTATAAAAAAGTTTTAAAAACTGAGTACAATGACAGGTTGGTATCTGAATTGTCAAATCCAGAAGCGAGTCCCCAAGATTTTTGGAAACATATTAAACATTATATAGGTGAAAAGGTAGATTCTGATATACCACCATTAATATCAAGCAATACAGGCATTATTGCACATTAAGATTTCGATAAGGCCAAACTTTTAAATACATTCTTCGGTTCAGTTTCAAGCAATGTTGACAAAAAGGAATTTCCGTATTTGCCCAAACGAACAAACTCTATGTTTCACATGCCGGAAATTACCAATCAAGAGATTATTGATGTTATCCTAACCCTAAAAATAAAAAAGGCCCCAATAAAATAAATAACTGTCTATTGAAAAATGTCGTTTCAACGATATTCTTACCCCTGAAACTATTATTTAACAAATCACTTAGTTCTAACACGTTCCCTAGTGCATGGAAAATTGCAAATGTTATGCCCATGTTTAAAAATGGGGACAGAGGTAACGTTTCAAATTATCGTCCCATATCCTTATTATCGTCAGTGAGCAAAATCTTTGAAAAAATTGTTTTCAAACACATCTACAATTATTTTCATTCTAACAATCTATTAAATTGTCTTCAATCAGGCTTCAGAGCCAAACATTCCACTGTGCATCAGTTACTAGAAATCTACCAGGACGTGCTATCTTCTATAGACAAACGACAGTACTCATGTCACATATATTGTGACATCTCCAAAGTATTCGATCGGGTTAATCATTTAGGTTTACTCCACAAACTATCTGGGTATAGTATAAGTGACAAAATGATAGACTGGCTAAAAAATTATCTCACCGGTAGAAAACTAAGAGTCTTCATAAACAGTTACCTTTTGGATTATGCAACTTTGGCCTCCGGGGTACCCCTGGGATCTTTACTAGGTCCCTTCCTCTTTCTTGTTTATATGAACGACATCCAGGATGTTTTAGATAATACCGCTAGACTCTTTGCCGATGACACGGTAATTGGGTGCAACAAAACAAACTTACCAGACCTCGAAAATTTACTCAATTTAGACTTAAAAGATTGGTCAATTAAATTCAACCCCAATAAAACTAAGGTTGTAATTTTCACTAAAAAAAATTTTCAATCCCTCCAAATTTCAAATTCGGCGACAATCAACTCGATATCGTTCATTCTGGACTTCCAAAATTCTGTAGCCGAGCAGCGCTTTATTATGAATCTGGTTGGAACAGGCTCTCTGAACGCCAGAGTATAAGACGTCTTACCACCCTACATAAAATTTTAAACAATAACGCACCCCAATACTTACTAGATATTATTCATTCCTTTGAAAGCAATACACTTAGATATAACTTAAGAAATAGTGATCATATTTCCCCACCCTTCTGTAGAACATCATTATATAAAAATTCGTTCTTTCCGTCAACAATTCGAGACTGGAACTTATTGGATTCATCAACAAAGAAAATAGAAAATATCAAAGCTTTTAAAAAAAAATTGTCTGAGAGATTCGAGATAATAAAGGCTCCAAATTATTATGCGAGCAGTAATAGAAAATTGAGTATTTTACACACAAAACTTTGTCATGGGTGCAGTTCCCTTAACTCAGATCTGTTTCGGATAAATTTAATTGAAAATCCTAAATGTTCTTGTGGCGCGTCATCTGAAAACGCAAAGCACTATCTTATGGAATGTAACTTGTTTGATATCGAAATAATCAGCACCATAACCTTAAATATACTGACATTAACATTAATGTCTTTAATCAAGTACAAAAATATATTAAGTCAACTGAAAGGTTCAATTGATAAGTATGCATAGTGTAGTTTCATTTTTTTTGTTTTTTTGTTTGTTTTGTTTTGTTGTTTTTTTTTGTTGTTGGTGTTGTTGTTGTTGTTTATTTTTGTGTACATAATACTACTTAATACTACTACTTTGTGAGTTTTTCCCCTTCCAACTTTCGATTTCGATTTTTTATTCGCAAGGGTGAATACTCATATTGAATTTCATAAGAAGATACTAAATCCCCCAGCGAGATTCTTTGGGCATGTCGAAAAAATTACTTTCATAATCCAAATATTTAAGAATTTCTCTATAATGGGATTTTTAACTATTTATTATAACATTTATATCCTTCGTTTTTGTATGTTTTTATCAATTGTACTATTATAACTATCAATTACAATGTATGTGGAGAGGGCATCGGTAAGTTCTCGTAACTTTTGTCCCAATCCGTTTGTACTTTATTTATGTTCTAGTACAATAAACTATGTTTAAACAAAGACCCTGTCCATCCATCGTCCACAACTTCTTCTTCATCAGGCCCTGAGTTCACAAACATTCTCAGACTTAAGTTAAGAATTTAATCAACTTTCAATCATTGTTTATAAGAAATATCTTTGATCCAGAATGACAAAACTTTTCACATAGTCTCTTTTTGATGTATTTGATATATTAAAACAATAAAAGTTTTATAAAGGACTATGTGAACAATTTTGAGTAAATTCTTAAATTAAGTCTGAGAATGCTTTGTGAACTCGTGATCAGAACTTTATAAGATTTTTACAAGTTGTTGATGTTAGTGAAAAGAAGAAGCGTGTTGATTTTTAACAGTTTCTATTAATTATTTCTAGTTATTACAACGATGGTTCCCCTATTTTTCAAGTTGGACATAGAAGTATTTCAAGTAATGAAAATATACATCAAATCTTAATTAATGAGAAGTGTTATAAGGTGGTTTAGAAAGGGAAATTATTCCCTGTCATGTCATTGTTTTTTTATATTTGCTTGGTGATCTAAAAAAGCTCTCATTAATCTGCAGAAGTCAAATATCTCTCTCCTATAAAAGCTCCCCTAGTTAAAACAGTTTATATTAGTGGAGTTGATTTAACCAGAACTTCATATTCTAAGTTCATCTAGCATACATAACTACACACTGACTTTTGAACAATTGTCAGTGACATAAAATAGAATATGGGGGAGCTAGTTTTAACTGTTCAGTGCTTGATTAAAAAACCTCTCATTGATCCAGATTTGGATGCTCGATGATGCTCTATCTCGATGTAGCGCCTTATAAAACAATGACTGTGTTTGCATGACATGTCACTAGTTTGTTTAATCTTCATGTTTTCAGGGTCGAACACCATATAAAGTGTTACAGATAAACAGTACGTTTAAAGATTATATGGAGGTGACGCAGGTTACATTCAATCCGGCCGATACAAGGTTTTATTTTGTTCCCGAGAATGATAATATAGTTATATTACAACCGGGGGAACCTAATGTGGTGAGTATAGGGTGTTTTCTTCAAGTGTTGGGCTTATAGAGGGGGGGGAATCTAATTTGGTTGAGTGTAGGGGGTTAACTTTCGAAGGGACGGGGCTGTAGTGCCGTGGGCATGAATATAGGAGGTTAAAATCAAGGGTGGGGCTGTAGTGGTGGAGGAACAAAATGGGGTGAGTATAGGGGGTTCACTTGTAGGCTGGGTGCTTGAAGAACACTGGATTCGTAACGAGAATATCACAAGGGTTAAAACCCTATGGGCCCCACCATAAAAACCTTCATAATTTTATAAGGAATAGTACCTGTGGTAATGACAAGGTAATAGTGTCTAGTAGTTTGGATTATACAGAAAAAATGAGAAGTCATTTAGTCCAGTGATCCTTTGACAATGTCGAGTCAGAAAAATAAAAATATCCTTTCCAAATATCCTTTAAAGGTTTTGTCTGAGAACCAGAATATTTCTTTTGTAATGCCTTAAAGTAATTAATATGATTTAAGATCTTAAAGACTTTCAGTTTAAATTTCTTTGCATTGGTTGTAGTTAACTATTTAAAAGTATTGTTTTTAAATGGTATTGTAGGTTGGAAAGATATAATTTATTGTATTTGTATTATAGGTTGGAAAGATATAATTTATTGTATTTGTATTATAGGTTGGAAAGATATAATTTATTGTATTTGTATTATAGGTTGGAAAGATATATTTTAATTCTAAAAGAGAATGTTTAGAGGATTGTTATGTTGGTTTACCTACGTTTACACCAGGTAAGTTATTACATCTATTCTTATAAGTTATTATAATATACCATGTCTGTTCTTTATAATATACCATGTCTATTCTTAACATTAAGTTATAATATACCACAGCTATTCTTATAAGTTATTATAATATACACACCTGTTCTTATAAGTTATTATATCTTCATTTACTGTTTATTTACCTGTATGCAATAGATATACACATGCCAAGTTGTGCATGTTCTTTGTTCTATTGAGTTTAACAACTGAACTTGGTTTAACATTTTAAGTTGTGTAATATACTTTTACTAACAGGATCAGTAACTACTTTTACACTGCAGACCAGTTTGAAAGTATGGTGAACTGCAGTCTAGTTTGCAAGTTTGCAATAACTGCAGACCAGTTTGAAAGTATGTTGAACTGCAGACCAGTTTTAAAGATGAACTGTTGACTAGGGCTGGCAATCGATACCTATTTTGAATATCGATATATCGGCAACCATTTCGGCAATATCGATATATCGGAAAATTAAAGTTGAAAGAAATAACTGTTTGTATGCTAATAATGCATTTAAATGTGTTATTGATCAAATAAAAAAAGAAACTATGATCCTCAAACTATGTTTTCTTAATGTTTGTTTCGTTCACAGCTTATTTTATAGTATTAGTATTATTAACAAAATATTAATCGCAGCTTTGCGCTCGTCACCAGTTGCTGTCAACAATTTTCCTCAGCTGCTTATAACAATAAGTAAATTTCTATTAAAATCGAGTTATTTCCCCCGAACAATTAATTAATTATTCATTGCCATTGTTGTAAACGACCCCAAAAATTACCGGCGCGTTGGTTGTACATTGTCTAGTGTGTGTGTTTTTACTTTTAGCGTGTTTTGAATGATATGACGACGATTATTTGACACAAAACATTCCGTTAATTTCATTTTATTGAAGCTCCTTTATTTTTTATACGAGTGTCAATATCAAGAATTGAATATCAATATCGATATTTTTCCATAGTCGCCGACGATTATCGGCTATATCGATATTTTTCGCCAGCTCTACTGTTGACCAGATCTATTGTATATTTAAAATGTTTTTCTATCTGTAGGTGGTAATCAGTGGTTAGTGGGGTTAAATCTAGAGAGAGAAGTAGCAAATACAGATCAATATTTATATACATGGTTACAACAAAAATGGGAGAAATTAGAAAATTCAGAACAAAACATGTGAGTATACAGGATGGTATTGTTTAAGACTAATGTGTCTCTGAGTGTATGGCACTCGCTCACAGTTTTAAGAAATCCTGGGTTTCGATTCCGTTGTTAGCAGAGAATTTTCCTCAGGCTGAAAGCAGCGTGTTTTCTGTTTGTTTATGGTGCAGTACATAGGAAAAAAGTCTAGTCTTTCAGATGGGACGAAATTCAAGAAAGAGTAGGTGAAATGCTGTCGGGATAAAATTGTCTTCATAGCTCACTGCATGGCATATGGCTGTCTTCATTAGCCTAGTAGGCGCAGAACAGTTCAATGTTAAACCACATTTCATTTTCTGTTACAATCTATATAGACAATCTGAACGACAGACTCACCCTACCTGCAGAGAAGTGACTCTGACACAGTGAATAGCCATGATATCCATATGACGTTATCTAACCGTCACAGGTCATGAGGTCACATCAACAAACAAATGTAAACACCATCATTATGATCATTATCAACATTACAAGACACAATGTTACATTGTAAACAATAGCCTTCTTGCAGCCTTTAGGACTGTATAATCCGTACAGAACGTCTTATCGCTTCTTCCAATGATTTTTCACAAAAATAACATCATCTACAACTCTAGATTTGACGTCGGCATATTGGCACTATTTTGTGCTTCGGTCGTGTCTATTTCAGATATACACAATCAATTCTGTTAATGTTTTTAGTTAATTTATTTCAGTTCTAAATAAAAATTTAAAACTTTAACGCAATTTTAAAAAAATAGCCAAATTCTGGCTGGGATTACTGAGCAAAATGGCCATTCACTGTATACGTGCGAAAAAAAAGCCAGCTACCATTTAATTTTCATACGTTAGTTACGTACGTCTATATAGAATTAAAACTATTATTTTATGTCATGCTTTGGTTACATGAATAAATAAATCAGGAATAAAATGTATAGGCATAGTTATATAAACAAGTATGATCATACTATGGACCAGGAACTGACCAAGTTGTTGGATGAAATTCAAAAATCTAATTCCCTAAATGGATGCAGAATTGTTCAAAGAAGGAGCATGCCAATTTTCATGTCGATTGGACTTGAATTGATGGAGCGGTTAGCGCCAGTTGATTAGTGACTGACTAAAATGGTAGCTTTGGTGTGCAGCCATTCACAACTCGATGTGTAACAAGTTTAATTTTTTTTTAATTATTTATTTCAGAGCTAATGTTACAATAGAGCTAGATACAAATCATGTTCGAGGTTTTTTATTCTCTGCCCAGGCCTATTTACAGTGGCCATCTTTAGTCCGAAAATCACTCGTTAAATTTCCTCTTACACAGATTGGGAATATATCCGTAAGTATTTTAAGGTCACCATATATATAACATCCAAGGGGGGTTGGTAGGACTAACCTCCTTGTATGTGACAAGGAGTAGGGTCGTCTGTCTAACTTCATTGGTTTTATCTGGATCCTCCGGTTTCCTCCCACTGCTAAAGCCCCCTACACACACAAATTATTGAAATAAAATTGAAACATATTAGTCCTGAAATGACCTAGTTTGTGTTGAGTGGATGTTAAACTCCATTTCTCTCTCACTCTTTTTAATTTAACATCATGTTTAAATTCGTGAAGGGTGCTCGATTCCTAGTCTGGAAATTTCCAAATTGGCGAAATTGCAATATAGTGATGCGAGAATTGAGCTACTGTCACAGTTCTGCCAGTGTAGACAAAGTTGTAGCATGAGCAGAATCAGGACACAATCAAACGTTTTGACTGTAATGACTGGTCAAGTTGTAACACTCTGAATTGTCAGAATTGTGTGGTGTCATGGTATATGTCGGGGGTTTCACATTAAGGACTGGTAGATAAAACAGAACCATGGTTACTGAGCTGGTAACATGTATAAAATGGACCAATGAAAGATGTGTTTGTATTTGTCTCATTTTAAGTGAGCTGATCACATGATTTAAGTAAACTAATGAAATATCTGTTTGTATTTGTCTTAATTAGACCAAGCTGGTCATATGTATAAATTCAAAATTGAATCAATGAAAGATGTGTTTGTATTATTTCAGATATCTGATGTTATTGTGGAGAACCCGGGTGATTTTCCTGTTTTAGTTCAAATTTTACCTTTGTCTTTATATCCCAGTCCACACACTATAATAGACCTCATAGGTCAAAGGTCAGTACAAATATCTAGTATAATAGAATTATAGTAATAAACCATGTTATGTAAAAACATGCATTATACAAGAGCTAAATCTGCCTATTACAGGTCTTTGTTATGGCCTAAATTATTAATTAGACATTAATTAACCTACCAAGACAATAATCAACTCTCGATGCCATCGGATGCCTGCATGCAATATTTAGTGGATTCAAATACGTTTTGGGCTGGATGCGGTTACTGTAAGAATGGATAATCGAAACATTGTTTATGATCGTAAAAACGGTATTAATGACAATCGAGGCTAGCATATAATTATATCGCCAATTTCTTGGCTCTTAAGTGAAGCAACTGACTGAAATTTTCAAAATATTTCCTTTTCATTATCTATTTTCTAATTTTTATAGCGAGAACTGCCAGCTCTTTATCTAATCTTACTTTCTAATCTTATTTTCACAGTGATTAAAATAAAAAAATAAGTCAAAACTTCATATTCCCCCAAAATTTTGAAAGTATAAAGAAGTACAAAGAAGAACCATTAACGGTTGGAATTCGAACTAAGAGTAGGCCTTAGTGCTGATGTCTGGGCAAAATTTACCTCCTAGCAAACTGTTTGGCGTACTCCCATCTTCATTAGATCAGTCGATGCAGAAACGTAGGTCGTTAAACCCCATTGCATTTCATTTGTTATATATTACAGGTTATCAGCACATGTATCTGAATATATAGAAACAGAAGATATAGATGCCTTTACTTTAAGAGATCTTGAAGCATATACTGTAAGTTGGTCCTTTGTTTCTTGGAAGTAGACGAGTGATAATGGCACTAGTCGTTCAAGTAGAATGTCTCCAGAATGAATCCCAGCATGAACAACATGAAATAACCCATCTTTCATGATGTAAAGTAAATTTTGCCTAATTGTTCGGGTTGGATGAAAAACTGAAGTCTGCCTGTGTACATAAAAGAACCCTTGACAATTAGAATGCTGTCTGAAAAACAATCTCTTCCTTCGATCATTTAATTTCAATTCTGTCAATTCATACATCCAGCACTAAAACTGCCTTGAATTTGTCGATTCAATACATTATAGGCCCAAAATCAAGCACCCAGAATTCATCAATTTGAAATGATTCAGACTAAAATTTATGTGCCATGAATGTGTGAATTAAAAGGTATTTTAATTATTGTTTAGGATTACTGGTACCAACTCTATATTTTTATCATTTCAGAAAGAAGCAGATAATCCGTGGATTAGCCATAGAAAATATGTAGAGAATTCTCTCGGACCAAAACCACATGATGATTCTCTGGCAGCTCTTTTAAAACCAGGACAGAAGTTAAAAATAAAAATAGGTTTCCAACCACGAGACGATACATTTCGAACTTCATTAATAATTATCAGGTAACTAAAGGTTGTATTTTATATTCTCTGTGTGTCAGAGTCTTAGGTGCACTTTAGATCATAAGGTATTGTCATTGAGTCAAGAGGCGTCATTTCTATTCCACGCTTGTACGCAATTGCCTGTCTCCAACCTCGTGGTTTTTCTCAAGTGGGTTGGTTGACCGAATGGTTTAAATCATAAGGTCTGTGATTGAGTCAAGTCGAATTGTTTCGATTCAAAAAGGTGTAGAGTTGTATGTCTAACAGGTGAAGATCTTTTAAACCAAACTGTCCCAAGGAGTTGATAAAAGATGATGTTTTGAGTCAATCGATTATATATATTTTTAAGTTTTCTGTCTTTGAATCCTATTTCTTTTGTGCATTTATAAATAAAAGATGCTATTTTATATTTCAGGAATAACCTGACTATTATTGATGCAGTGGTGGTACAAGGTCAAGGTCGTCGTGGTGATTTACGATTCAGTAGTCGTAGACCTGGATCAAGTACACCGTTGTTATTTGATATGACTGAAAAACATCTTAAAAACTGTGATAGTCAGTACCACTTTTTTTTATTAATTGTTAATATACGAGAATCACAGCTTCTATCAATTGAACGAGTTTGTATCTTGTTTATATAGCTCACATTGAATTGTGATCTTATATTGTCGTTGCCCGCCTCTGTCCTTCACCTTCAGTTTCTTGTTGATGCCCTAGAGATTAAAGTTATCATATGATTGACTGAAAAATTTTAAACAAAGTTTTTATGCTCTTGAGATGAAGAAGCCTATTTCCTATAATTACTATTGCAGTTATGGCCCTTGATTACTAAGAAAATCGTGTGAGATTGCTCTAATGGCTAAAGTTATTATACACAGTGTTTATGGCCCCCTTAATGTTCAGTGATTTCCAATAACTTGAACTGTTATCATCTAAAGAATGATTTTGTTAGCGTTAGGAAGAAATTTGAATTATTTCTTATAATTGTTTTATGGATTGTTACATTCTTATAAATGCTCCCATCATTTAAAAAGAAATAAATGTGACCACCTATATGCATTGCTCAGAGGACTTAGTCGCTGCGGACATGTGTTCTGCTGCTTCATTGTCATGTTTTGTGTTTGTTCTTTTTCAGTTTCTGAGAAAAAATCAACTAAAACATTGGTTCCACATTTCACCGTCCGAAGAACGTTCACTTTACGTAATACAGGGGAATTAGCATTTTACGTACAGAGTTTCAGTATAAATGATTCTCCATGTGAAGGGTTCGGGTTTAAAGTTTTGGATTGTGAAGGCTTTGAAATGTTGCCCAATACCAGTAGAAAAATAGATATAGCGTAAGTTTCTTTGCTTATATGAAATGGGGTTTAACGTCCTACTTTTCTGCACCAACCGGGTTGATAAAGATGGGCATAGACCATGCAGTGTGCTATGAGGAAAATATTGCCAAAACAATGGTGGTACAGTCTACTCTTTATTTTGATTTCAAACTGTCAGGGGATCCGTAACATACTGTCAGATGGTTGGCCTTTCATACTATCCGAACTGCTAGACACTATTTCTTGCCAGGTTCTCTGTCCTGAAGTTAAAAAGATGAAACCATGGATATGAAACCTGGAACCTTCTGCTTAGTGAGCTGGCACCTTATTCACTGAGCAACATCTCTCTGTATCTGAAATCTCTGTATGTGAAGTTATATCTTGCATGTGCTTCATTAATCTGGACCATTGGGAATATTCAACTATTGCTACAGCATTTGCCTCTGCATAGTCTCCCCTTATAAAAGCTAGGAACTGTTTTTAAATACTACAGTTAAAATTTATTTTTTATTTCAGGTTTACACCAGATTTTACTATGTCCAGAATACGAAGAAGTTTAACTATATTTACAAGTCTGGGACCTCCGGCAAATTACACCTTACAAGCAACTGTTCCTCCACATTTATTACCTAAATGTTCGGCAGCATTACCGCGCCCAAATTGGGAACCTGTTCTTTATTATTCTATCGTCTGCGTCATGGGATTCCTGCTATTCTGTATCCTGGTAGCCGCGTATTTCGAAGCAGACCGTGTGATCGTGGCCGATATTCTTCGACGTAAAATGAAAGTAAACAATGCTCAGATATTTGACAAAGGGAAAGTATTTGATCTCAATAGTATAGCAGGATTGTCTCCCTTGTATCCAAAACCACCACCTCAACCTTCGGTAGCAGAGGTAAAGCATCCGACTCCAAATCGTATTTTAGAAGTGAATGGCCATGTTGAATATCGTCGTGCCAACAGAGAATCGTTATTCAGCAGCATACTAAGTGTTTTACGTAACCTCATTCCAAGGAAGATTTTTCGAACCAGTCGGAAAGTCGACCGGCAATCTTCTCGAGAAAAAGAATTAAAATCAGCAAACTTACAAAATGGTGGAAAACCACAGACAAATGAAAAAGACAAACAGCCACACAATGTTACTGACAATAATATAAATGATAAAAATAACACATCACAAAAATTACGCAAAGTGAAAGTAGCCAAGAAACAAGCGGATACCCCTGTAGATTCGAGTAGTTCTACTAATGATAGAAAACGTGATCCTGATAAGAAGAGTGAAATAGATACGTATATAATGACAACCAATCCTAACGATAATAATATAGACTACATCACCGATCTAATGGATAAGGAAGATGTAATACTCAGAAATAATGGTAAGTCAATAAAACTATTTATTATTCCACTCCGTACGGATCTACTCTGGAAGGACACCAAAATGGGTTTTTCCAAGCCAAAAGTTGTGACACGGTACAAACACCGCTCAACATTATTATTCTACTATTATGACCACTTTCAATTTTAGCCTAACTACTAAGGTGACTTCTTTTGGAAAAACCTATATGGAATCATTCCATACTACATGTATATTTAATGGAATGGATTCTGTTTGTTCCATCAGTCCTGGATAATATTTTGTAAAACTTACAAACTTTCTTTAACTTAGAAAACTTTGTACCCATTTTGAAAAACTTTGTACACATTTTATAAAACTTTGTACACATTTTGAAAAACTTTGTACCCATTTTGAGAAAATTTGTACATATTATGAAAAACTTTGTAAACATTTTATGAAACTTTGTACACATTTTGAAAAACATTGTACACATACCAATCTATTATATAGTAGTAGTGCCTTTCGTATACAAACAAGACTGTAAGTCAATACAAATTTGTTATTATCCCACACTAATACACTTATAAAGTTAGAGGAATGTGAGTTTTTGAAATGGGCTTTGTTCTTCCATCTCCCAGTGACATTTGCTGGTATTTTTTGGTATACAAGGGTTTAAATCAATAGAATTTGTATCCCATGCACAAAAAGTTTTAATGCAGGGGGCTATTGAATGTGCTCATTGTAAACTCTGCAGCCTAGTAGTAGTAATGCCCTTTTAACTATACATGTTTCACTTAAATATTCTTTTATCTTTCCATTCAGACAAATTTGACATAAAATTTGGAACACAAGGGCATAAGTCAATCAATTATTTTATCCCACATGAAGTAATGAGTGAGATATTGAAACAGGCTCCAATCTTCCTTCCATCCTGGATATATCTTTATGAAACTTTGTACATGCATCAACCTATTATAGCAGTTTTTAGTATGCTAAGTGGACATAGAAAAAATCTGGCCTACTATGGCTATGAAATTGGCTCTGTCAGTTGTTCCATCCTGGGTAAAGTTTTACACAAGCAAGATTTTCTGAAGTTTCATGGAATAAAATTTTGAGATGTAGAATTTTTTGGCACCTCAAAAGCATTCTGTTGCCCAGGAAATATTCATTCGTAGTGAGTCACCTCGTGTGATTTAGAGAACTGTTATACTCAGTCAACAACACCACTTGTCTTTTCCAAGAAATTTCCATTTTTGGCTACAATACTTAATTTTATTTTACAGGTGGCAAATCCCGAAATAAGAAAAAACGTGGTAAAGGAAATGATATCTTGGGTGGAGTTAGGTCGAAGGACACGTCTGTTCTCCCTGACGACAAAGATGAAGTTTCCTCCACGACAACCGATTCATCTAATGGTGATAATGAAGACAAGGTAAGTTGGGATCGTAATTTCACAAATTTCTCGCATGGTATGGCACTTTTCAAACAGAAAACTCAGAGGTATTTTTGGAATAGTGGCCTATTTATTGACTTGAAAAATTCAGCTATATTTTGGTACGTGTGACCATGGTTTCTTAAACAGCAGAAAAATCTGGATTTATTACGGTATGGGTGGCCATGGTTATTTAAGACCACAGAGAAATTTGTAAAATAAATTGAAGGCCGTTTCCTTGTCTTCTGCTAGTTCAATACCATTTGTAATCAACCTTATCAGTCAATGCCGTGAATTAGGGTGCCCCACCATAAATAAATATCTACGAATATCCCCAAATATTTCGACAATTATACCACAATATATATATAATAAGCCATAACTTAATTTCTCACATTTATAGTCACTAGATAAATGATCGTGTTATATTTAATATCAATAAAAATATAGACTGGAAAGGTAAATAACAAGTCTAGCCAGTAATCACTTGACAACCGGTCATTTGAGCATGCTCATTCTCTGTGGTGAGTTCAACTTTTGATGGGGGTTTGGATGGCTGAATGGTTAGCACGTGCGCGCTGTATCATAAGGCCTGTCATTGAGTCAACTGGAGTGGTTTCGAATCCCCGATTGTACGTGACAAGGAGTAGGGTCGCCTATCCAACCTCGTGGGTTTTCTCCGGGTCATCCAATTTCCTCCCACTGCTAAAGACCCCTACACGCAAGCGAATTATTGAAATAAAATTAAAATATATGTTTGTCCCGAAATGACCTAGCTTGTGGCGAGTGGACGATAAACCCCATTTCTCTCTCTCTCTCTCTCTCAACTTTTGATGTAGCAAATTTTGGCTGTGTGGGGCACCCTGCTTGAATAATCTCAGATAAACAAGATATATGAAAATCAGTGACCAGCTGTCTAATGTTTTAAAATGAAAGCTTTGTGTTATATAATAACTGTTGATAATTTGTCCTGATCAGTAAATAGAAGCCTGGGGCCAGCAATTAACAAATTATCTTGTACAATCACTCATCTCTTGTCTCTGACAATTATAACATCTTTAAGTTTGAATGTTACTTCATCTGGAAAGATACCATATTACATTATAATTGATCAAATGATCAGGATTTGAATTGAAAATTATCTTAACTCAGGGGTCTTTTTATACTGATTGTCCGTCCATGTTGGGTGGATGTCTTAATGTCAGATTCTTACAGTAAATACTGGTCCTCTTATGAGGACTGGATCTATATTAGGTTTGAGTTTTAAATATTTAAATATTTTTGGACATGATCTTAAATTAACACAAGGTACAGTTTTATGGATACGCAATTATTTGTATCATTTGTGTGATAAAGACGAGAGTATCCTCATCAAAACATGGCATAGTAATAACTTCAGTAAGTAATTGTCTATGCATAGAATTTTACAGTAGAATCTGCATTAAGCAGCCACCCAAGGGAATTTTCACAACTGACCGCTTAACGGTAGTGGCCTCTTAATAAAATCTTGTTGCTTTTTGTGCTGACATAAATTAAATATTATGCTTGGATGCATTGGAAGCGGTAAATTTGACCGTCGCTGAATCTTGCGCCGAACGAAAATTCTTTACTCAAATTTCGGACATAACTTCTGTAAACTTGTCATTTTGTTTAATAAAACAAAAGATTAATTAACAGATAATCCCGGGTTGATTGTTATTTTTACATTTCTTTTTACCTGATCAGTGGGGATCCAGTTAATTAACTACTTCTCACGGGATTAGCGGGGGTGTTACTAAGAACGACAAGATGGTATCATTCAACAATGGCCGTTGAATGGGCGATGTTTTGTTGAATTTATTTGTAAAATAGTGACCGCTGGCCGCGTTAGAGGAGTGACCGTTGAATAAAGAGATGAAACAACAGAATTTCTACGGGGGGAATTTATCGTGACCGCTTACAAGGAGATTTCGCTGAATAGGCGTGGCTGCTCATACAGATTCTACTGTACCTTGTGTTAATTATTTCAATTACTAAATGCCCATAAAAGATGTTTTAAATAGAAACCTTTTTTATCACTGGGTTTTTTTACACCACATCACGTTGGACCAACAAAATATTTTTTCTAAAGAATGTGAGAATTTTTTTTTAGGATGATCCCAAGTTTTTCAATATTTTTATGTTATTGTTTTTAAAGAAATACATAAATTTATAGAATGTAATTTGATTGACATCTGCTCAGTAAGTAAGACGCTGACTTGCTAACCTGGAAGTCCTGTGTTCAATCTTGGTCTTGGTCCAGAAAATTCATCAGGATTTTTTCTGACATGGTTCCCTGTTGTCAGAGGTGCAGGATGGAAATCCTGGCAAGGGACAAGGTATAGTCGTCCGGATAGAACGAACAACCGAGGTCCCAAGTACACTTTGGCATACACTTAAAAGAACATTTGACAGTTACAATTATAAATAAGAGCACGCCGTAGAGCCACTGTCCGAGCATAATTTCCCTCAAAGCACACTCTATGTGCAGAATAGTAGTAGGACGTTAAACCCCATTTCATTTCGTTTCTCCAGCAGTCAATCAGTACTGAACTGAAATAAGAGCCCTGATGGGACTGTTACTCTCTCTATATAGATATTCATGTCAAGATTAATCATACAGCCTGTCATTGAGTCAACAGGTTTTACGTGATAAGGAGTAGGGTCGCCTGTCCAACCTCGTGGGTTTTCTCCGGGTCCTCCGGTTTCCTCCCACTGCTAAAGACCCCTACGCGCAAGCAAATTATTGAAATGAAATTAAACCATATGTTAGTCCCGAAATGACCTAGTTTGTGTCGAGTGGACGTTAAACCCCATTTCTCCCTCTCTCTCATGTCAAGATTATTATTTTTATTTTGAATATTATAAATGTATTTTATTTTTCAGAATTCCAGTGCTCGTGATTCCACACCCGAGCCACCAATTACAACAAATAAATCCAAAAAATTGAAAGTACGAGTTAATGAGCGAACGTCCGTAGATCTTCTCGATGATTTTAATGGCGAGGGTGAATTTTTACTGACTTCAAGATCAAAAGCTCATCGTAAAATACGAGTAAACCCAAACGAGACTTTTGGTGGAAATATCCTCCGACCAAGGTATATAAGAATTTCTTGTCATCTTGTTCTGGATTGTGTTTCAACAGATGGAATTCGAAAAATGTGTAGACTGTAGTGTCTCTGTCGGTGAAGTGTCAAAAGGGTGTATCTAAGAATTTCTAAAGATTAAGAAATAGAACCTTATGCATTTCAAATTTCCACAAATCAAGATACAACATTTGGACACATGATACCCAGAACAGTTCTAATTGGCGTAGAGATACACAGCTTAGACAGAAATGTGCATGTTAATTGGGAGAGTTTAAAAATGCAAAAATGTGTATTTGACTAATTTCCCGAGATACACCCTTTTGACACTTCACCAACGAATATATCTGTCTTCATTAGCCCAGTCAATGCAGAACAATAGGCTATTTTAATTACCCGGCAAGTGCAGAACTGTAGGACGTTAAATCCAATTCCGTTACCTTCCATATTCGAAATTCTTATTTTACTGTTGCTGATAAAACATGAAATTCTCATTTTTGTGTAAAACATGAATTAAATTCTCATATTTGTTTAAAACATGAATTAAATTCTTATTTTTGTAAAAAAAACATGAATAAAAATTCTAATTTTTGTGTAAAACATGAATTAAATTCTCATTTTTTGTGTAAAACATGAATTAAATTCTCATTTTTGTGTAAAACATGAATTAAATTCCAACTTTTCCGAAAAACATTAAATTCTAATTTTTGTGTAAAGCATGAATTAAATTCTAACTTTTCTGTAAAACATGAATTAAATTCTAATTTTTCTGAAAAACATGCATTAAATCAAACCATGCATTGAATTCACATTTCAGTTCCTTAGAACTGCCATATTCCATGGAGAGTAAACCAACGAAGGAAGAAAAATCAGATGAAACAAAAACAAAACGAACATCAAAATCAGCCAAGAAAACAAAAGGTAAAAAAATTATCGTTGTCTTGTGATTTCTATAGAATTTATAAAACTGTCTGTCAATTCTGAAGTAAAGCAAAATTAACAGACTTTTTAATTGTTCAATTGAGAGTTGTAGTGTAGAATTTGTTTTCAACTTATTATCGTGTATGTGTACACACAGACACTATCTCAGTGGGGAAGCTCGATTGAACGTTCTGGAATTTAATCCTTTCTATGGCATAAACAGTGATATTTGAGTGATAAAGAGGATATCCGGCAACATCGGATGTAAGAAAATATCTCATCCAATCATAACCGTCGTAATACATTGGCTGTGTTTAATTAGGTCACGATTCTACTCACACTACCTCAGTTATGGGAACCGACACACTGCCATCTGACTAAAACACAGATCCTATTTCGTTTTGTTTTTTTTATAGTTCAAAATTTTGTTTGTCTACACTACATACACCAGTAGAGGTCATCAGAAGTATAAAAAAATGAAATAAAATATCAATCTGTATTTTAATCCGATTGACAGAAAATCGATGGAAATTCTGTTAATCAGAATGTTTCAGATTACGAATCGAGTATCCCTATCACCTTACTGCTCAATGTAGTTATATAGTATATAGCTTTATGTTGTGTATTATTTGTAAATTGTTGAGTAGTGTAATTATATTATTATAACATAGTATAAAACTGGATATTAATCTCTCAGATTTGAGTACTTCAGGTACTATTTTCAGAAGTCTATTTAGTTACTAAGGTCTAGATAGAAATCACTTGTAAATTAAATACTGTGAAAGATGTATATCTGTCCCAAAATGGTTCAATTACGTTCAGTATTTACAAAATTATTATAACTGGAATGTCATAGATCTATGCTGCTCAAGTGTAACACAGTTCAGCCATCTTTTATTAGTAGTGCAGAAACCTGATGGGTCAAGTTTAATTCCGATTAAATCCAAGACGGGACATTAACAAGCTGGGATATTCTGATTTTGTTTTCTTAATTAAATGTTAAATAATCAATCTGATGACATATTTCGTATTTGAGGTGTATTAAACACATTGATACTTTAAAATGAAATTGGTTTGACACCTTGACCTTTGAAATGGGTGCTTTAATATCCAGTTTTTAGTTGAATGAATGTATACAATTAGATAGAGTAGATCACTATATTTATATTACTTATGCAAATTTAATGTAAAACTTCACTTTAATCTATAAATCTATTGCACAGACCTTTATTTCACTTCTGATGTGTTGTAGGAGCAGGGGGGGTTGGGGTTGCCGAATGAGCGCTTTGCATCATAATGTCTGTCATTGAGTCAAGTGGCATGGTTTTGATTCCCTCGTGTTTTTGTTTTTTTTCCAGATCCTCTGGTTTTCTCCCACTGTTATAGACCCCAATGCGCAAGCAAATTATTGAAATAAAAATAAACCATATTAGTCCTAAAATAACCTAGTTAGTGTCAAGTAGACATTAAACCCCATATCTCTCTCTCTTGTAGGAGCGGACACTTGTTTATTACAGCAGGGTTGGGTGCGTGCGCATTGCATCATAAGGTCTGTTGAGTCAAGTGGTGTGGTTTCGATTCCCCTGCTTGTGCGTGACACAGAGTAGGGTCGCCTGTCCAACCTCATGGGTTTTGCCTAGATCCCCCGGTTTCCTCCTACTTCTAAAGACCCCTACACGCAAGCGAATTAATGAAATAAAATTAACCATATGTTAGTCCCAAAATGACCTAACTTGTGTCCAGTGGATGTACCCCCCCCCCTCTCTCTCTCTCATGTTAAACCCTCATACAACAATATATTGCAATACCTCAAAGTGTATATTGAAATATATAATTGATTTTTTGATTGACTGATGATAGTTTAAACCAGAAACACAACTAAAATTAAATGAACTTACTTTTACATAGTCTTTCAGAATAAAAATTTAATTGCATAGATTTATTCTTAATTTTGATCAAATTGGAATTTAAATGAAGTATGAAATATAAATGTTCATGCTAAATCAGAAATATAATAAAAAACAACCCTGATATTAATCTCTTGAATATATAGACACATTTTATAAATAAGAGTGTTTATTTTTAAATCCATATTTTAAGAAAAACTTAAATTAATTTGTTGAATATTGAGACATGTTTTGATATTAGCTAAGTTCCATTAAGTTTGCATGGGTTTATATTTCCTAATATACTTGTGTTGTTATAATTTGTATTACTTTACTGTTTGCCTGCATGATTTTCATTGGCTGCTGTGTTGTCTTGCTAGGTGCTGTTGTTGTTGTAACCACAGAAACAGACAGCGAGGACCCTGGGAGAGATTCACCACCTCCAGCATGGGACATACCAAATTTTACTCCTGGTTAGCTCCCCCTTTGTGCTATTCCTATTATCAATTTTAAAGGAATTCTTTGCACCTTTTGAACCTTGATCGATGAGCTATTGGATGGACCTTTACAGGCCTTACTTAATTTGTCAAAAAATTGATCGTTCCAGATGGCTTATTCGTGATGTCTTAAAACTAAAATATTTTAAGGATGCCACCTGTTCATTGGCTAAAGATCCAAACAGAGATGAATTCTCTAAACCAATGAAAAGATTGTATCCTTGAAATAAGCAAGTTCAAGTTTTCATTTCACTATTTTGAATTTCTTCATGTTTGCATGTTGGGATTTTAAACACTATTGATTACATTAAAATTACAAGATTTAAACATCTTACCATTATTTTAATGTTTCAAATCAAACCTAGATACTAAATTATGATATTTGAATTTTTCATTTCAATTAAGTTTGATATTGAATTAATAAACAAACAATTCTAAATTAGATTTCTGTCCATTTTTATAGTGTATGAAACAAAAGGCTCAATGGGTGCAAAGTATAAAAGGTTAATTAATAGATACAGGGGAGTTATGTCCCCTACATAGATGCATTGTACTAATGAGTGGTGGATTTAATCAAAACTGTTACTTCACTAATCTTGATCTCCCATCACACTTTTAATCATCAGCACATAATTCTCGTCTCTGATAACCCTGCTGAAAAATGTCTGACAGGCAAAATTTAAAAACAGAAACCCTGATACACACATTGATTTAAAGTTATTTGTAGTTCACTAATTATGTAAATCACTAATTATGTAAATCGAACACCAAAATACAACGAAATAGCCTAATTGTAGAAAGTTTAATGGAGCTGTTGAGTTTGCTAGCAACTCAGCTTAGCAATCTCCTCTGTCTTCATTAATCTGGATACAGCAGAAAGTAGGACATTAAACCCCATTTCATTTCATTTCCCTTAATTTAGTGGTCCCCTAATATAAACATCACTATCCATTTCCCTCAATTGTTTATTTGGTTATCTTCTAATAAACATCACTATCCATTTCACTCAGTTGTTCATTTGGTGGTCCTCTAATATAAACATCACTATTCATTTCCCTCAATTGTTCATTTGGTGGTCCTCTAATATAAACATCACTATTCATTTCCCTCAATTGTTCATTTGGTGGTCCTCTAATAAACATCATTATTACTTCTCTTTCCTAATCCCAGCAAACGTAATCATGTTTATCCAGACCCAAATATAGCATGGCAACTTGTCTTACCATACATAGAAAACTAATCGTTTGCTTTTCTTTGTGTCATAGAAATATATCTTTGGCATCTCCGTTAAAAATCTGATGCGTCATTCAGCACTACAGGAATACCTAACAAACTACAATAATGTGAAAGTTGAATCTCTTATAGGAATATCAGCCCAATAATGGTCCAAGTTTCTGACAGCCTTCCACATAGAATTATCCTGTTTTATTTCCTAAAATATATATATTGGGCATCTCTTTTAAGTCTAATGAGCTTCAGTATTCCAAAATTTACCTCCTATTTAATATTCAAATAAATCTATTGCTCTATTAGTCTAGCCTGGAAAAAACAGTATCAGATGCTTTATATCCAGGCTTCCTATAATCGCCACCTAATTACATGCCCCTTATATAACCGCCTGTATATATACTAGCACCCATCACTACTACATGTAAATCCCTTTATGCATATTATACATATGGATATATTGTTTTGTGAACCCCGTCTTCATTAGCCCAGTCGGGGCAGAACAGTAGGATATTACACCTATTTCATTTCCTTTGTGAATCAGTTTTTACTCCTGTTTTATAAAGAAATTGAAATAATGAAAATGTCGGCCAGATATCAAATGTTTCATTTCCTTTCTAACACAAGAGTTCTCGTGAAAATAACATACGATTTTTCTTTCTTTCATTGTTAAACTAAACTAACCTTCATCTTTTAAATATTTAAACATTTAGATTTTAATTGTTGTAGTTATTGTTGTTGTTTCTTTTTTTCTCTCTGACTTGTTACTAGAACCTGTGAACTTAACATAATAAATTAAAATTGTTGAATTCTAGGAGACCTGACTGCCCTGTCGATCCAAACACAAGACTTTGCTTCCAAGCATATCAAGTCTTTTAGTGGTAATGGTAATGCGAATGGTTTTTCTCCTGATAGTCTGACAAGCTCCAGTCGAAGCAGTAGCTATAGTAGCATCGTTAGCAACAGCAGTAATGGAGTCGACAACAAGTCTAAAAATAGAACAGATAAACGATTTGCTTCTGGCTTTAATCCGTTTTCAGATAATGGAATACCAGGTAGATGATAATAATAATAGATACATTTATATCGTGCCTATTCCTCAAGGCTTGTTCACAGCGCAAGCAAAATGCTTAAGTTTTTGTTTACTGTTTTGTTATGGATTTAAACAGATGAGTTTTTAAGCGGGAAGTCAAAATTGTCCTAGAAGTCACAAAGTGAATTTGGAACGGGAATAAATTAAATCTTTTGTTAGAGGTGTGTCAAAAAGTCGCAAGTTTCAACTGATATTACCAGTAGGAGCATATCAGTTATAGCCTGTTCTACTGTTATGAGTTGTTTCTTTTTTGTGCTTTGGGGGTTGGATGGTCGGACTGTCACTGAGTTAAGGTGGCATGGTTTCAATAACCTGCTTGTACGTGACGTGGCTTGAGATTAGAAGAATTGTATATTTTATCTCACTTTGTCCACATTAAGAGAGAATGTGGCTTGAGATTAGAATTGTATGTTTTATTGCATTATTTATTTTGTATTTTTAGGTCTGTTGGCCAAGCCCGTGTCACCACCCATAGAGAATAAGGGAGGTAATCCATGGACTAATCCCCCAGTAACTAGCAGTCCTATACCAATTGTTGAAAACATGTAAGTCAACTTTTATGTTACTTAAAGTGACTATTTTTTTTTTAAATGGCATTTAGTAATTGGGACACAATCAATTAAAACAATTTTTATGGAATAACAATTACTATGGTTTATTACACTGTGACGCTTCAGCTAGATTTCACAAGTCGTTATCAAGCATATAGATACAAATAAATCAAAACACTTGTTTGATTTATATGCCTGATAATTGTTATTCATATATAATTGATCTATTTGAGTAATTTCTATATTAAAGGTTTTTGATTGCTAGAGACGAGTCATGATCAGCCAGTCATAATCTGTGTTCTACTGAACATTAGTCCCGAAATGACCTAGTTTGTGTCAAGTGGACATTAAACCCCATTTCTCTCTCTCCCTCTCTCTCTCTCTCTCTCTCTCTCTCTAGAAATGTCTTCAGACCAATATGAAATGACAGTAGTGTAGCACCTGGGGACAAAGACACTTGTGTCTCCCTTACAGAATTTCGGTCTAAATTTGACAATATATTTAATAATTGTACTGAATATTAATGTTATATAACAAGGAAAGTTTTAATGTCACTTATATTTGAGCAGAAACATCAATCTAAAAATAAGGAAAGGGCATAATTGTTCCATAATGGAAATTATAGGTTAGAATCCAAAGGAAAATTTGTGCTCTTTACACATGTACCAGTCACTTGCCCTTGCCCCCACCCTGTTACACCACTGTGAAATGGTGTAAAATAAATAGATATAGCAAAATATGGGAGATTGTTACATAGTGTAATTGTCATAATTAAAAGCTTTTCTGTGTTTTTCAGGGGAGTGAATAGTTTTGGTCTACATACAATAGACGAGAACACCCAGTCTAGCTATAACAGTGGTGGACCAGGCAATATTGGATCCTTCTCATCATCAAATGATTTTGGTTACGCAGTAAATGGTAAGGTTATAAAATTTAAATTGCTTTTATTGGCATTTAAGGGGTTGGGTGTCGGAATGGTTTAATTCTTGCAATTTAAATCATAAGGTCGCCATTGAATAGGAGTAGGGTCGTTTGTCCAACCGCATGGATTTTCTCCAGGTCCACCGCTTTCATTCCACTACTAAAATTGAACCATATGTTAGTCCAGAAATGTTTGAGTTGTGTGGATGTTAAACCCTATTTCTCTCTATCTGTCTTCAGGTATTGGTGGATTATATCCTGGCTTCAACACATCCAATCTGGATTCACATCAACAAGCTCAACAACTAACCATGATGCAACAGTTACAAGCAGATCGTAGACGCAGATTCCAAGAGCATCAACTGAAAATGCTTCACCAAGGTAAAGTGCTCTTATATAATGGTATAACCTAACTATTATTATTTTGGTGTATTTATATACCAGATCTTTCACATAAGTGCCCAGATGTTCTTTACAAACTTAAAGAAGATACAATACAAAACAAAACAATAAAATAAAATACATGTAAATAGTCAAAGGAAAAATAAGAATATATAAAATTACTGTAAAAAAAAAAAGAACTATAAAAGCAGCTAAGTTAAGAATTTGGATAAAAAGTCTGAGTTTTGATTTAAAAGTCGAAAATGATGCACAGCTTCCTAGACTCAAAGGTAATTATATCAAGGAATTTAGCGCAATAGAAAGGGGATGCTCGATTCACAGTCCAGAATGTCCCGAATTGACAGAATTGCAATCGAGTGACACGGTATTCAGTCCTGTCACAGTTGTCAGTTCAGACCACGGAGGTGGTGTGAGTAGAATTGTGACGTAATTAAACACAACAAATATGTTTCGCTGCATGGTTGGTTGAAATATTTATTTATTCAGTCGATGCATGCGTTGTAGCCTGAAATCCCCCTTTTCACTCGATTATCACTATTTTGTGGATTGAAAGAATTCCGTTCCAGAATGTTCGATCGAGTAACCCCTTAGAGAATACGATTTATAACCAAACTGTTGCAGGATCGAGACCGGAACTTGTATTCTTGAATTGTACGTCATGTTTACGTGTCCTTGAAAAAGACACGAAATCCATGTATTACAGTCTACCCAGTTATAAATGGTTACCAATAGGATGGTGTATTTAATTACATAAAAAGACTGTCTTTGGGCAGCATAGGTTTCGGGTCTAAGGTTCAAAGAGTTCAGGGTTAAAGGGAGGTAATCATGCTTTTAAATATATTATAATATTATTATTATAGTAACGATACATATCATATATACTATTCAAAAAAAGTAGGGGATATTTGATTTTTAAGTGTTATTAAAGTCACCTAATGAAACTGACGAAGAAACAAATGACAAAATGAAATGAAGTTCACATTCATCGATTTATTCCAAATGATCGTTAGACTAAGTAAGGCACAGACTGACCATTATAAGGGTAAAATGATACCCGGGGTCAAACAGCAAAGTTACCACAGCATCACAACCAAGTCAGTAACGGGTAAATCCTCCTCTGTTTGCCAAACAAGCATTGATCCGACGTGGCATACTCCTAATGAGACGTCTAAGGTCATTTTGGTCCAGATTGTTCCATTCCTGTTGCAACGCAGCAGCAAGTTCTTGGACATTGGCAGGACGTTGTTGACGTTGACGTAACCTCTGTCCAAGCATGTCCCAGACATGCTCGATGGGGGAGAGGTCGGGACTCAGTGCTGGCCAAGGTAATGTGGTGATGTTCTGTTGTTGGAGGTAACCTGTAACGATCCTGGCCCTGTGACATCTTGCGTTGTCATCCTGGAAGATGAAACGGCGGCCATGACGTCGTGCGAACGGCACCACATGGACTGCCAAGATGTTGTCCCGGTAGTACTGGCCTGTAACACGCACTGCAACAACATGTAAAGCCGTTCTTCCAGCAACAGTGATGCCTCCCCACACCATAACAGAACCACCCCCAAATCGATCATGTCTGATGACGTTAACGTCTTGGAAGCGCTCGTTTCGACAACGCCACACCCTCCTACGTCTGTCCAAAAAATCAACAGTGAACCTTGACTCATCTGAAAACATCACATTGCTCCAGCGTCGATTATCCCAGTGTTGACGATCCCTACACCAACGACGTCTTGTCTGAATGTGATGATCTCTCAAACAAGGGATCACGCGAGGACGTCGGGCGCGAAGGTGACCCCTATGCAGTCGATTCCGAATCGTCTGGCCACTCACTCTCACACCAGTGTCTGTTTGAAGACGAGCGCTGATCTGATTTGCTGTGATGACACGATTTCTCAAGGCCAAGGTACGGATAAATCGATCCTGGGCTTGAGTTGTCGCCCTTGGTCGACCTGAGCGTGGTCTGTCCTGTACAGATTGTGTATCACGGTATCTGGACCATAGCCTGCTTATGACAGACTGAGAAACATTCATCGTCCGCGCCACAACCGCCTGTATTGTGCCGATCTGTAGCATGCCAAGGGCACGTAACCTTTCATTTTGGGTAAGCCGACGCATATCAAAATTTGTTTTCTGGTCACTAAAACAATTAAACTGATGTTTCCACCCTGGAATTCAATGCCACAATGACTGTAACATTCAAAGTCAGAGTCGTGCAAATCTTGGGTTGAACCCCCATGATGATCCCAAGCATCACCTGCATTCCATGCGGTAGCTATTGGTGCGTTTGGGCGTCACATGTAAGTGGAAATGTTTCTTCTGTTAGGTTCTATAGTGACTTTTTTCGTAGTCATTTGCATATTTTAGTATTATGCCCCCAAAATCAAATATCCCCTACTTTTTTTGAATAGTATACGTATCATAATACAGGACACAGGTGTCGTGTTACAATACGAATCGCAATACAGATTCAGGTCACAAATTTAACAGCAGAGTGAGCAGCTGAAATTTTTGTATTGATTGTCACTCTTCGTGGATTGCCACTGTTCTTAGATTGTCACTCTTCGTGGTGGATTGTCACTGTTCTTAGATTGTCACTCTTCGTGGTGGATTGTCACTTCGTAGATTGTCACTCTTTGTGGCGGATTGTCACTGTTCTTAGATTGCCACTCTTCGTGGTGGTTTGTCACTGTTCTTAGGTTGTCACTCTTCGTGCTAGATTGTCACTCCTCTTGAATTGCCACTCTTCATAGATTGTAAGTTTTGAATTCCAGAATATTCAAATACCTTGTGATTTCAGTTCTTTTGGAATCTGCCAATCCCTTCTTCACAATTGATAAATATATATTTCAGGACAAGATTGGCCCGGATTTGATGTACCTCCAGTTAGAAGTGAGAGTTTGTGGGATTCACCCCTCGACACCACTTCTTGGTCATCGGCCACAGATTCACCACCTAATCCTAATGTAAGTTCATGGAAAAACATCCAGTTTTATAGAAGAGACAAAAACAAAAATCAATGGCAACCTGTAGTCAAGAACTCTGACAGATGAAATCTGTTAGAGAGTGTTGTCAATCGGGTGTTGAATCCATGCCTTTACTAGTTAGGATGGTTAGGTGGCTGAATGGTCTAACACTTGCACTTTAGATCATTAGGTCTGTCATTGAGTCCAGTGGTAACGTTTTGATACCAGGTTTGTACGTGACAAAGAGTAGAGTGAATTTTCAAAACATTCGCCAAAGAACTAAAAAGCAGAAATTTAATACGGTGCATGATTATATTAAAAATTTCATTCAAATTACTTTATTCTCGACAAAGTTATGAGTGTTGGGAGATGTAGCGTAGATTGTTTATTATTGTATTAATGGTACTTGACAACCGAGACTAAATCTTGATTATCCAATCTTCTGCCATCCGATGAACTTAAGAGTTAATTATACTGATTATGGGCTTTTCATGTTAATAAATGTCTAAATAATAATTTATATAACATTTGAATCCAAAAGAAAGCCTGCAATAGGCAGTTTTAGCTCTTACATAATGTATCTTTAATCAAATATCTGCTTGATCAAGACAAGAGAACCCGGTTGCCAGAAATAAACTTCTATTACATATAAGTGTGTCATGTGTTGTTAAATTCTGTGTTGCCATAACGATATATTTTATTTATAGTCTGGTGGTTTCTGGAACACTATCACTAACTCGGCTACAAGCGGATGGAATTCCTTTGCTTCCATTTGGGGGAATACCCCTAGTACTAGCGCTGGCAACACCATACCAACTGATTCTACCATGAATGACAGTGGCTCCTCCTTCTCGGGTTCTAACAGCCCAACTATTCCGGTAATTATTTCTATTTTAAATGAAATTAAAAACTTTGGCTATTTTAGAAATAACAATATATATATCAATGAGAATTTTCACACTATCACTCAAGCGCCACCTGTAAGTGTTAGGTAAAATCTTTTGGTACGATTGAATCCAAACCGTGACATAATCTACCATTGATATTTTGGTGTGTTTTCTTAAATATACATTATGTAAGAGCTAAATCTGCCTTTTGCAGGTCTTTCTTTATGCCTTAAATGTTATATAAACTATTAATTAGACATTTATTAACATGACAAGACCATGATCAACTCTCTATGCCATCTGATGGGTACAATTGGAATCCGATCTGTTCATGATTAACTGTAAGAATGGATAATCAAGACTTTGTTTATTATTGTAACAATGGTAACAATGACAATTGAGGCTACAGTGTTTTTTAAATTCGGTTTTCTTGGTTCAGAGTGAAGTAATTTGACTGAAATTTTTTTAACTGTTATAGCGAGAACTGTCAGCTCTTTATCTAATCTTCCAATGTTGCTTTAATTTTCTTTTTAATTAATTTTCTTTTTTTCATTATCTATTTTTTAACTATTATAGCTGAAACGGACAGCTCTTTATCTAAATGTTACATAATGTATCTTTAAATAAAATCTTTGTCTTGTAAGCTGTGAAGAATTAGGTATTGTCCAGAAATTGTGTAATTGTTATCAGCAACCTTAATTAAATTGTTCTTTTGTTCTACAGATAACAACGGCAAGTGGTGCAAGTTTCCATCCATTTGGTCCTGTACAGGACATCTGGGGACCTGGATCTACCAATAACAGTTCTAGTAGTTGGGGAAAATTTACACCCACCCAGGAAGAAGAGGAGAAGAAACAATAGAATTACTTCCCTTTGAACAACTAGTCCTTGAGAGTTAATTATCCTCCTCTTATTGTGGTTTTAGATTAGAAATGATTTGTTAGATCTCCTTATATTGTGTGCTCTATCTTTCTGTAAGTGAACATATGATATATAGGACTGGCTTTATTCAATTTTTCAACATTTGGCTGAGTTGACAGTTTGTTAAAATTTGCTCGAAACCTTTGTATGTAATGTGTAGATCTTAATTTTAAAAACGCACCAGATGGATGGGGAAGAGAAAGAAGGCATTAATTTTACTCTAAATATACCAATAATTAGGTATTATTGATAGTTAACAAAAATTTCATTGGTGTTGTTACAAGCAGTTATCAAGTTTTGACAAGAGTCTAGTGGTTCAGACTTGACGAAAAACCGAGGTCATGTGTACACCTTGGTGTGTACATAGAGATCCCTTGACAGTTTTAATTTGAAATAAGAATATGACCTTGTCTGAGCAAAATTTCCCCTTATTTCATTTCTTGAAATCTAAAATGTGCATTATTGCTTTGTAGTATCTTTATAGGCTTCATTTTCATTTCTCCTTTGATCATTTGTCCATGTATTGCTTACTCCCTCTATTACTATCCTATCTTCTTCTTTCTATCCTTTCCGCAACTCTTTTAAATGTTTCTTTTCCTTATGTAGCTTTGCTTCATTCCTTCTTCTGTCTTTCATTCAAAACCCCTTTATCTCCTCCCTGCTGTGTCTCTTTTGCTTTTTATTCCTTCTTATTCCACTCATCAGATTTGATAAATTGAATAAAGCCAATAATTGATCAGACAACCTTGTCCACTAATCATCTCAATATTTGGTTAAATATTGAAATTTATGGTTTACAAACAGTGAACATTTTTAACAGAATAATTATACCTCTTGAACAAAATCTGTGTATAAGATGCACCAATTAATTATCTGCTTTATTTTATCATGTATAAGAGGTGTGTTTCTCCATGAATATAAATAACAAACTCTGTGTATAAGATGCACCAAACAAGATAACAAATTCTGTGTATAAGATGCACCAAACAAAATAACAAATTCTGTGTATAAGATGCACCAAACAAAATAACAAATTCAATGTGTAAGATGCATCCTTTCTAATACCAACAATTACTTTAGTTTAGACCTTTGTATTGTTTGTGAACCATCAAATTTTATATCTAACCTTTTATTGTGTACCCTTTTATATAGGTTAAAACATTCATAATGTCATCATTAACCTTTCAAGGATACTCATGATAAATGACTTCAGATATTTTAATTGTGACAAATTCGGTTAAGTAAAGTTGAGCTCAGTTTTTGGGTGTTAAATTTATTTTTCTTCTCATAGTGTAAAGGTTTTAACATATGTCTAGATAGTATTTGGAGAAAACTGACTTGCAAAAAGGTATTTTGCTGAGAGATGTTTTTTTAAGATCAGACATAATTTTAATAACGTGTAATTTGCAGAGATATGTTTCAAAATTAGGATGAAATTCAAAAATAATTTCATGAAGAAGATATATATATATATATATATATATATATACACATGTACGTACATTACCGATATAACACATGTATTCTCTTATTACAATTACTCTGATTAGAAAAATAAATTTATTTTCATGAAGACATAGAGCTCCTTTATAAACTGAAACTCCCTCGTACACTACAGTCCTGGAGTTTAGAACTATAATCGCCGAACACCGCGGAAAAACACTCTATTTCACGGTGGAATCTTGGAGAATCGCTAGCGAAACGGCAGCTAGCCAAATCACCGCGAAATAGGGTGTTTCGCGGTGAATTATGGTGTTTCGTGGTGAAACACGGTGAATCGCTTGAGTGCCGATATCATCCCGATGTAAGCATGTTGACGAAAAATGTAATTTATTTAAGTTGAGTACAAGATATGTTAACCGTTAACCGTTATTTCTAACACACTGTACATGTATAACGTGGTGCCACAATGTACGTGTATGCAAACAATGAATAACTTACAATTTTTTAAACGTATCATTTCATCTTATTGGCTGCTATCAAATCCAAACTTTAAATTATATTCGATGAGATTTTACACATAACTTCATTACTCGCAGCTTCAGTTAATCTAAATCAACCATTCATAAATCACAGTGCCATACATGTAAATCACTCCGCAATGGGGTTAACCGTACGTTAATAATTGATAATTTTGTTTGTTTTAATATGCATCTGCTTTCTTTGAAATAATAAAGCGTTATGTACTTACCCGTGGTATTGTTTCATCATGAAGCCCATCAAAGAAAAACAATTAAATTGTTGATGTTATAAAGATAAATATTTGCTAATATGTACTTACCGGCAGCGGCCATTCCAGCTATGAATATACTCATCTATAAATTATTCGCCTCTTTGTATTGTGATTTAATCATAAATAACATATTGTCTGTATTATATTTTTAAAATGAATAAGTCAAGCCTTATAATGTAATTTAATTGGTCCGAGTGGTTCTTTGGGTTTGTCCGAGTAGCAAAGATAAATATGGGACCGATATTATGCAATATCGATGCGGGTTCAACCACGAAACTTGCGTATTCACCGTCTAGTATAACTTTCGAGCTTCTGATATCTAGATTTTAAACGCAAACATACATGTATGTATAAGCTTATAGATTGCAGCTACACAGGGTACATGTATATGCAGTAGGAAATCGACAAGTTGGACGTACAAAAGAATGGAATCATTCAGAAAGTGTACTCAAAATAAGTAAATTATAACGGGGTGAAGACGAGAATTAACACACTCATGGATATTGTATAAATATATGAGGCGCATGTAATGTACACGTATGTGTGTGTGAAATGGCTTTATTCAATATCTGCTCCCACCGAAATGAATTGGGTGACATAAAGTAGATGTATATTGTCACAGCGGATATTATTCGCCGAGTAAAACAGCGTAAGAATATACATGTAGTCCCAATCTTTTGCCGCGTTTCTGACCATGTAAGGGACCCGCGGAGTGATTTACTGTACGTGCTGTATGGATAATTGATTTAGATTAACCAAAGCTGCGAGTAATGAAGTATTGTGTAAAAGCTCATCGTATATAATTTAAAGTTTGGATTTGATAGTAGCCCCAAATTTACGGATTACATCTAAGTTATAGACGAAGATGAATTGTTATGTTTAAAAAATTGTAAGTTGTTCATAGTTTGCATACATTTTGGCCGGCGTTATGTATGTATAAAGTGCGGTAAATGTCTTCCCGAGATTACCTAACTCATTTGTTATTCAAACCTGTCTGTACATTATACATGTACACGTTTCCTGGGAGCATTACTATATTACAACTCCTTTAATTTATTATAGACAATATTAGTTCGACCCTAGCTTAAGGTAGGCTCGCGAATTCCTTGCGGGAAGCACGGCAAAACACGATGTATTCTTCTTATTGAAACACGGTGAATTCCTAGAGAAACACGGCGAATTCCTAGAGAAACACGGTGAATTCCTAGCGACTAAATTCCTGTAGATGACTAAAAACAGTTCCATGGTAACCAGATAGGGGATTATTTTAACCTGTCTAAGTATAGCTATGAAACAACTAATTCAAATATTTACTTATATTAAAATAGTTGATTCTGGTACCCTAAGCTGTGTTATTGCATTTGAAATTGAAAATTAAATTGTGTAAAAACATGTATACAAGTGTATTTTTACCAAGTTTTTTTTTACTCAAAAGTGTCGTTTTATCCATAATTTAGAATGAAAAATTTCATGGAGCCCTTTTCACGAAAAATTTAAACTACATTAGGAGCCAAAAGCTGGAAAGGGAAATTAGGAATTAAATCACTACCTTTATTGTCAGCCAATAGAAAATCACTACCTCTATCCTCAGCCAATAAAAAAAAAAGTGTGGTACCTTGACTTGAGACTTGCAACCAATGAAAAATCAGAATCTTATTAAGATTTCCGGGTTTATGTATCCCCTGATCTGTAACCATGGAAACTGTTTAATACCCCGATATTGAACTATAAACATGGTTATAACTAGACTAATTACACGGTTTGACAGATTGTAACCTATTATTTGATGGAAGGAAAAAAAATGTTATATTGTAGAATTAATGTGACCTGTGATAGCAAAATAAGTCAGATGTCCCAAGTCTTTTTTACGATATGAACAAAATACGTTAAAATAGGCTAATGATATAACATAAAACTATAACACGAAATGTAGAAGTTCATATTTGAGAAGTAAATGAAATTAAAATTTTAAATATTTTTCATCTATTTCCATTTGTTCATATATTATTATGGTAAACAAAGACTTGTGACTTCAGACTCATTTTCCTTTCGCGAGTCACAAATATTTAAAATTTAATTTTTTGTAAAATTATTTATTGAATTGTTAGAGATGAATTGCAATTCTCATTGTTTTCTGTTTTGGTCAAGAAAACCAATTATTTTGTTAATGCATTATTTTTAGTTTTTAATAGAAAGAATTTGTACCTTAAATACTTTACTACAAAAATTGAACGAAAACCATTATTTTTGTTAATCAGTTTTTATACGCCCACATTGAAATGTGGTCGTATATTGTCGTCGCCCCCGTCCGTCCGTCGTCCACAAGCTTGTGGACACTCTAGAGGCCAAAGTTAATATCCGATTGACTTTAAATTTATACACAGTGCTTAAGGTCATGAGACGAAGAATCCTATTGATTTTCAGCAATTTACGATAATTACTGCCAGAGTTATGGCCCTTGATCACTTTGAAAAATCTTGTGGACGCTCTAGAGGCCAAAGTTATTATCCGATTGACTTTAAATTTATACACAGTGTTTAAGGTCATGAGACGAAGAAGCCTATTGATTTTCAGCGATTTCTGATAATTACTGCCAAAGTTATGGCCCTTATCACTTTGAAAAATCTTGTGGACGCTCTAGAGGCCAAAGTTAATATCCGATTGACTTCAGATTGATACACAGAGTTTAAGATCTTGAGACGAACAAGTATATTGGTTTTCAAAGAATTTTTATGACTTGGAACAGCTAAATCCATGATACAATATTAAAAGTTTTGTATACAAAACGTTAGCATGGGGAAGAACTTTATAAAAACCAAACAAATTCTAATGGTTTTCTGAGTTGTTGCTCTTAATCAGATTTTTAGTGTATTATAAATGTTTCATTACCGAAAAAAGTAAAAATATACGACAACTCTTGTTGACTGCCCGGACGATTTAGCTGCTGTGGGCGTATGTTTCGTTGCCTGGCAACCATCTTTAATTTTTAATACAGAATGATTTTGTACAAGTAGAATATGTTTTCTGAACTTAAAAAATTCAGAGCAATCTCAATTTTCTTTAATTTCAGAAACAAGTATTTTAAATTTCTGATTATTAAAGTTTTTCAACAATCACAGATACCTAGATGTGATTAGCTATTTTTGATTCAGTACGATATTTGAATTAGAATATTTTATTTAGTTACAGATATTTATTTTTGTTGCACAGTAAAACCATGTGTAAAAAAAAATAATTTGGTAATGCTAAATCTGTTTATCAATTTCAAACTTAGATTTTAAGATTACTTTTGATTGGTTTAGATGTGAACCAGTAGAAAACTGTGTTTTATTAGATTTAGCTGTAAGAGTATTTGTGATTGGATTAGTAGTTAACCAGGAGTTGACGTATAACATTTTTAATTGGTTAAGAAGTTAACCAATGAGTGATGTCCATTTTCTTGGATACATTACACCTTATTGTGACGTGTTAATTGTGGTAACCTTTGACCCCCAACCAGGATGAATAGCAAGTGGCTCCACCTGGTCTATTATTTTGTCTTTTGATTGGTCTGTTTAAAGTGCTGATATTCATAACTTCTGCTGCGATGGAAAAAATATCCATTTTAAGAAAAATAAAAATTTCTTTGTTTTTACTGCAATACTGTATTATTTGTTTTTAAAATTATATCTCCATCTCTCTGTTTATCCCCTCCTCCACAATCTGTTGTAAACGCTCCGAGAGAGTGAGAGACAAATGGGGTTTAACTCCAGTAAACACAAACTAGGTCACCTTGGGAGTCCCTCACATGATACAATTTTATTCAATTAATTCGCTTGTGCAAAAGTGTCTCTAGCATTGGGAGAAAACCCAGAGATTACATTTAGCATATCATCTTTTTAAATTTATATGGGCTTACATCAGTGAAACAAACGGTTTATTCTATAACTATTGCTCTTTCTGAATCATTGGTCATCTGATCTGTTTGAAATGTATAGATTAATGAGAAGGTCAGGGAGGAAGGCACTGGTTCACTAACCAAGAGGTCTCGGATTGCTCCCAGTGCTGGCAGAGAATTTTTCTTTGGATTTTTAGGCGTGGTTCCCCCTTATCAGTGGTGCAGGACAAAGTGTCTAGCAAGGACAGTTTCTAGTTGTTCAGATAGGATGGAAAACCAAATTCCCATGTGCACATTGGTTAGGGTGACCACCTTTTCTTGATTACATTGCTGGACATTTTGGAAAAAATAGCCTATATTTTGCTCAAAAACCCTCTTGTTTTCTGAGGAGTCGCTCACCAAGAGCAACATAGGCATAAAACCGCCTTTGAAAAATTCTGAAAACTAGAAGCCTGGAAACGCCATTTCCAGCAATCTGGTACTAAAATACACTGATTTTGTAGTGATAACATGTAATTTTCTCCTGAATGTATAACATCTCAAGATAGTTTAATGAGTTTATGATCTATGATGAAGCAAAGACAATAGACATTGAAAGATATGTTACTAAAACTTCAAGATTTAAAAGAGTAGTTTTTGTTCGACTTCGCGGCTTCTAAGAATTTGTGATTTATTAATATATACTTGTGAAGCTCCTGACAAGAATATTTAAAGTTTAATTAAATTTGAATCTCATATCTGTCGTCTCTCAAATAATATTTCATCAGTAAAAATATGCACTCAATATAAGCCTTACAAACTGGCATGGAAAGTAATTTGATTAAATTAATGCTGGTGTAGGGGACGACACTTTTGAAGAATGAATCACTTTTATCCATTTCTCGCCAACATTTGCGGTATCAGAAGCAATGACATTCGGAAATCAGGTCAGTTTTTCAAAACTGCATGTATAAGTCATAAGTTTGCACGTAAATATTAAAGAAGGAATTTTCCTTTACGGTACTTTAAATTTATTACACGTAAAATTACGAGTACTATGACACAACAGTAAAAATATGAAGCATGTGCAGAATGTTTGAGAAACAGAAATATTGGTGAGCGATTGCGGGACATATTGGCTGGTTTTCGGAATGCAGGACAGTTGGGAGCATTTTAATAGTTTGAAATGGAGGTAAAATTTCCCTCAAACCACACTGTATGTCTTTAGCCCAGTTGGTGCAGAAAAGTAGGACGTTAATTAAACCCCAGTTAAATTCATTTCATTGGATTTCAACTATTTTCTTCAATGGATTAACTAGGCAGAATTAGGTCAAAAGAGGTCCCTGTAGGAAAATACTGTAATTAAGCTCGCATTCCCGTAATAGGATACTAGGGCCTATAACCAGACTTCAACAAAACTAATTCTTGGCAATTTATGTGGAATGTACTATTCTGAATAGGCTTAATACATGTTTATATGATTACCACAAAATTAAGGACAAACAGATACCCTACTAAAAATATACAAGACATAACAGGTATTTATTGGAGATATTTTAATACAGCACAATAATATATATGTATACTAAATTCTATTACCGGTACACCAACTGATATCATTTTTCTATTTTACCTAAAACAGATTCTATTTTTGATTTCTCCAATAGTTTAGCATATTGAGGAAACAGATACCATTTATCTGACATATCACGCAATTTGATTACTACATAGTCTTTCTTAGACGATTCCACTATTTCTGCAAAAGGCACCAACATGTTGACCGGTATGAGTAAATCTTGTCTTTTACCCCAGAACGACAAATACGACAGTCTTATCTCGTCGGAATTTTTATTGATGCCCAATTCTCCGACAATTCTTGGCATTAATGCGCTTAGTATATATAAAGCAACAGTAATACATGTGATAACAGCAGAAAGTGACAAAAATAGAACCGGACTCACATTACCGTAAACTCCGTTATAAATAGTCGGTAGAAGACTAATCATCGAAGATACAGTCAGATAAATCTTAGACCGGTTTAATATCTGTAAATATTTCATATTTTTTAAGCGATATATCGACATATACTCCTTTTCAAGTTCACTGTTTAAACACAAAAGATGTGATGTGTGAAAAGATCGCTTTCCTATTGCCGTTTTTGTCAGCAGACCTGGACCGAACTGTTTATATTCAGAACGTCGAGAAAAACAGGCGTACACATTATGCTCTGTATGAATGAAAGTTGCATGTCTCTGATTGGATGTGTGGAAACAACGGTTTCCTCTTGCAGTTTTCGTTATCAAATGTGAACCTAACTGTTGTTGTTTATAATCATAACGTCCAAAAGAACAACCAGTGTATGAATTATGTTCTGTACAAATTAATAAAGGAAGGCAATTCAACACTTCATGGCTCGTCAGTTTTAATAAAACACCATGATTAAAACAAGTTGACAGAAACCTCTTAGAACGATTTTGTAAAGTGTATAGGTTTCTACACATAAAAACATTTCCACAATAATTCAGCACGGTTGAAGGAAAACTTGGTCTGTTTATCTTTTGAAGAACTGCAGAAACCTGATACAGTAGACGTGTTCCGTTGCGATAGTTCATTTTAACAACTGGAATTAGAAAATATAATGGCAAGTAGACAAAATGTTTTATCTACGTGACTCCTCTATAAAAAATGTAAAAAAAAAACATGAATAAAAATAAAATTTAGCCCAAAAATAAAAACTAAATAACACAAAACAAAAACTAAATTAAATTCAAATCATCTTTGATAAAACAAAGTAATGTAAAATAAGTGTAAATCAAAAACTGAAATAAAAAAAATTGAATTAAAAATAAATTGAAAACTTAAAACTTAAATGAGAAAAAAATTAAAACATTTTTTTATTTAAATCAAAAACTAAGCCAAAAGGTGAAATGAAAACTAAAATATGCATGTCTTGACGTGGCCCATCGCTAGCATTCAAACGGGACTGTAATTGAACACCTGTGAATAATTCTAATCCTAAGGTGATATTTTACTTATGGGAGCCACGATGGCTCAGTACGACGTTGGCTCGCTAACCTGGAGGTCCCAGGTTCGATCCCTGCGTTGGCTGAGAAAGTTCATTGGGATTTGTTGGTGTGGTTCCTCTTTGTCAGTGCCCCAGTTGTGCAGGGCCAATGGCCCGGCAAGGGACGAAACAAAAAACCAAGGTCTAGTGTACAGATTAGCTTGCACATAAAAGATCCCTTGGCAGTTGGAATTTGATATAAGAGTAGGCATATTTAATCTTTATAACATAACGTGCATGTACAGCCGCGCCCAATTTTTATGTTTATTGCCTACAGACTGCAACTGTGCATGCCACAATTCTGAATGGATCATCTTGGAACTTAGCATTATAAGATAAGGACGGCAACTATTGATTTTGGTGCATGTTTATTACCTACAGACCGCAATTTTGAATGGATCATCCTGGAAATTGGCATATTTAATCCTTATCACACAAGGAGCCACGGTGGTTCAGTGGGTAGGTCTTTGTCTCACTAACCTGCAGGTCCCGTGTTCAACCCCTGCATTGGCCTATGTTCATTGGGATTTTACGGCGTGGTTCACACGCGGAGGACCTGGCAAGGGACGTGTAGTTGGTTGGATGGGACGAAAAAAAAAGGAGGTCCCGTCTATGCATTGCCGTGCACATAAAAGATCCCTTGGCATTTGAACCGTGCCGCTGTCTGGGCAAAATTTCCCTCTTTTACGTAGGCTACATTCCAATATGACCTTGGTCCTTCGTATCATATGAATCGATATCACACCACTTGACTCATCAATGACAGTCCTTATGATCTAAAACGCTAGCCATAAACCATCGACCCCCTCCTCCTACAAGCTCCATGAATGAGGACACCTACCTCCAGAGTAGTCACTACTGACTAGTCAGAGTGAGAGACTACGTTCAAAGATGAACTATTTCGGCGATTGACCATTCTACCATTTCTATAAATTACTTTGTAATTCCTGCTAAGTACCATATACGGCCTCTACCTACCTCAAGTCTGTTGTCACCAATGGAATTCAGCAGTTCTTTAAAGCAATAATAATTCTAGCTGTGAACTATCGTACCGTTGATGAGCGAACAAACTTCCCATGCTTTGACCTTTGTGCAAGGGAAACAACTCCCTTTACGGAAGACGGAATCAGACGAGTACTTTCTCCAATGTTAAATTGACCTTTATAACCACAAAGAGCTCACATATCAAACACAATGTTCTGATAAAACTTAATAAATAAAAGTATTGAAGAGAAGTGGCCGTTTCGATTTTTTACTAGACCTAGTCCAAGGAATCTATATATAATGCGGTGATGTCATTTTAGTAGGCGATTACCCGAAATTACTTCCAGTAACCAAAACTTGCCAGAAAATGTAACTCCAACACTCTTCTGCGATTCTGGATCAAAAATTTAACAAAAATGGCCATGCAAAAGGGAGCGTTGAGCGATAATACCTATAAAGCGACACTACATCATGGTAAAAGTACAGAAGCAATTTTAAGAAAATTTAACCTTCAGTTTTTAATTTGCTAAAATGAACTTTTCACTCAATCTAGTCACCAAATTCGGGACAAGGCGTGTATACGTGTGTGTGGTTATCTCTTGTGTATAACTAGCTGCGTATTTTCTTACGTATGCAATAAATCAGTAACCCAAACCATAATTTTGCTGTTCTTAAAAATAACATTGAAAGTATTATTATTTGTTTAGAACTGACATCAACTGAGTATTGGTGAATCATTCCCAAGCTAAAAAAAAAATAAAATACGTGATGATTTATATAAAATAGTCCCGACCGAAGCACAAAATAGCGCCAAGATGGCGGCCCCAAAAAACAATGATCGGGATTGAAACTTTATAATAGTTCAGTGAATTCATCTTCCGTTTGACAATACTCCCATCGATTCTAGAATTAAAATAAATAAATACATTTGAACATCTTGGCCAATCTCTTTGTTTACATGAAAAACTTTTTTTTTGACAAGAACATATTGATCTAAACATGCATATCAATCAATTAATTAAATTAAAGCTTTTTAGTTCTTTAAGAAAAGGTTTATTTTTTTTTATACAAAATACTGAATTAAATTAGTTATGTTATTAATTTATGAAATCATTGATAAGTTGGTTGATGAAAGAAGTCGTTTTTTATCATTTTGAAACATAACATTTCTTTAAAAGAGAAATAATAATACTATTCTAATTTTTTTAATTTTTTTTTTCAAAATCTTTTACTCATCAGAAATGAAAGGTTCTTAAAGTGAAAGTTGGACTGTTTTCTGAACCTTTTTTTTCAAATCCACTCTTACATGTTTTTGGTTCCCTATTAAAAATTTAAGATAAGATGAAATGAAATGGGGTTTAACGTCCTACTGTTCTGCCCCAACTGGGCTAATGAAGACGGGTATACGCCATACAATGTGCTATGAGGGGACATTTTTCCCGGATAACGGAGCTATGGCCTACTCTTTTATCGAATTCCAACTACCAAGGGATCTTTTACGTGCACGGGACCGCGGTGTTTTGTCCCACCCGAACGACTGGGCAGCTATCCTTGTCAGGCCATTCGTCCTGCACTACTAACAAAGGAAAATCACGATGAACTTTCTCGGCCAACACCGTGATCGAACCCGCGCCCCAGGCTTGCGAGCCAGCGTCTTACTCACTTAGCCACCACGGCTCCTTCACTATTTAAGATAAGATGAAACAAGATATTGAGATTTAATATCAATTCAACACAGGAATCACATATGACGGGTGGGATTGTGTGCTAGGGGCGGATTGGGTGTGCCCCAATTTTGAAAAATGGACACTATCCTCCCTCTAAACATTCCGAACGTGTTGTTCATACACTGGGTAATGTTGGGACAGCATAGTTCAGATCAGGAGGCAATTTATTGTCGACCAACCCGGCTTACACTCGACGTGTACTAGGGGCGACGTCCTCCTACGACAATCGGAGTACCATCAACTTTGAACATGTTTGTCCTGTGGAGAATTATTGCGCACGGATTCCCGGACGACGGACTTCGATTTTTTTTTATATGATATTCCCGAATCATGGCAGTATCATTGCACTCGTTATTCAATATTTGTACGATGATAGAATTTCCCCGGTCATCGATATTTAATGATTTCAGCAAATATTGTTAGCCCACTCAAAAGGTTATGCCACTGAAGAGTGTAACGGAACTAGACCGAAGAAAGTGCTGTGTCAATATTGCTATATGAACTTGATCTGTTTTTTTATTGGCATTTCATCGATGATTCCGCTCTTTCAATTCCACTCTTGTAAGCCTATGTGGCGCTCCAGTGCGAAAGTTTCAGTGACGCTCCCACCCCCTCTGCATACTGTATATGCTTTGTTCATTGTCTGCGCTCAGTTGACTTTTTATGATTAAAGAAATTTTAAAATACATTCTTTTAAACTTTTAATGCTTATCTAAATAACTATTTATTAAATCAACTTAAGTAAAATCTTATGTTTATTTCCCCCTCAACCCTCCATTTGATAGAATAAACCTATAATATATCTTGGCAAAATCCTAATTCTACCCTCTCTATTTGCAGCGAAAGCCGGTGATTAGTTATCTCTATGGAAGGGTATCGCTGCCAATGCTCTGCGACAATGTCGTTTCCATTGATTATATTATGTAAAAAGTACAATGTACAAAGTCCTAATACCGATATTGATAAAGTCAAAATACCTCTAAGGCAAGAGTTAAATGTAAAATGTCAAATGTTAAGTGTTAAATGGCAAATGTTTTGTGGGAAAATGCTTTTATAATTTGTCGCCCCAAGAAGTGTCGCCCCCAGGCATATGCCCCCCCCCCCTCAGTCTTCCGCTATACGAGGGCCCTGGTATCGTCCAGCCTAATGAAGACGGGCATGCGCCATGCTGTTTGCTATAAGGGAAATTCCCCAATTCCTTCTTGTAATGACTAATAGTGTACGTGATGAAAACGTAATGAAATAAAGAGTTTGACGTCCTACAGGATGATGAAGACAGGCATGCGCCATGCTGTATGCTATGAGGTAAATTTCAATTCCTTCCTGTACTAGCGTACGTGACGAAACTGTAAAGAAATGGGGATTAATGTGAATTTTTTCTCGGAGAGTGGTGCTACGGCCTACTCTTATTTAGAACTCAATTGTCGGGGGTTCTTTTACATGTACGCCAATCCGAACGAAAAGATGATGTTCCCTGTCAGGCCCTCCGTTCTGTACCACTGACGAGGGCAATCCATGCCGGAATGCCCTGGGCCCTTATTCACGAAAACTTAAACTAAGATACAATCGAAATTTTAAGAAATACTGCAATTCGATTGGCTGACCAGTAAAATCAATTTGCATATATCCAATGAAGTTGCAGTATTTCTTAAAATTTCGGTTGTAACTTAGTTTAAGTTTTCGTGAATAAGGGCCCGGGACCTTCAGGTTAGCGAACCAGCGCCGTAGTAACACTAACTCCCTCTTGATGTGACAAAGGGTGGAGTCGTGGGTCTTATCCTGGTCAGTGACATGCAGAGGTTTGGTGATGGCGGGGGCAACTTTTTGATTGTGTGACCACCTGACTCGGCCGGCTTAGTGCTGAAAAATATGTAAAAATAAATGATATAAATATCTTTTTATTCAAATTAAATTATAAATCAGCCACATTAAAGATGGGTTCCCGCGTACAAACTGGGTGATTTAATGGTATATATGGACCAAAAACTTTTTCAAACTAATTAATTTGTCATAATTATGCTTCAAATCCTTCTCAAACATTGTAATTACGAAGGAATGCCCTGCTATTAAAATTTGATCAAACCAGGTCATGTTTACGTCACGTCTTGGGAGTCAGAGGAGAATTCATTGCATACATAATACGATGTTGTCTTTAATCGCTTACTATTTATTACAAATATCGAATTTCTAATTAAATTCTCGGATTATCCACTACCCGGGTCTTTTTTCTTCATTTTTATCTCAGAAAGTATTGTACGTCTAACTCTTCATAAAGTTTATCAACTTGTACATCAAGCACTCAATGTTCGCTTGTGACCTTTGACATCATGCGTGCAGAAGTTCCTAATCGTCGGGCTGTTGATTAGGGGAACCATTACATTTTTGTCCTGTATACGCTCCATGAGTGTTTTTCGGGGAATCCAGTATTTTTCTAGTAAGATTGGATATCTCTACTTTCCATATATACCAACATTGCCATACTTTTATTGGAAACTAGAAGAATGCACGGCTTCGCTCGGGGGTCATAACTCCGAAACCGGAAGTGGTAGACTAACGCCACCTGGCCTATGTTACTCCCCGGTCCGAGCTACCCCTATACCCCAAATTTCAGACTCGGGGCAGACCTAGTGTAGCCGCCAACACACAGACAGACAAACGACAGTCACAAATATTATTATTGGAAACTAGCAGGATACCCGGCTTCGCCCGGGGGTCATAACCCCGAAACCGGAAGTGATAGACTAACGCCACCTGGCCTATGTTACTCCCCGGTCCGAGCTACCCCTATACCCCAAATTTCAGACTCGGGGCAGACCTAGTGTAGCCGCCAACCCCGAACAGACCGGCTTCGCTCGGGGGTCATAACTCCGAAACCGCAAGTGGTAGACTAACGCCACCTGGCCTATGCTACTCCCCGGTCCGAGCTACCCCTATACCCCAAATTTCAGACTCGGGGCAGACTTAGTGTAGCCGCCAACCCCGAACAGACAGACAGCCAGACAAATGACAGTCACAAATATTAGTATAGAAGATAACCACCCGATAAATACATTTCTGGGAACCCATCTTTAACGCTAATTTATATTTTGTTTCCACATGCACACTAGTTTGTACAGTGAAAATAACAACGATGATTTCAAATCTTTAAACAATAAATTTTACTTTCACTCACTGTAAGGATGCCATCCGAAATGCATACCAATGGCCACCTCCCTCTCAAACGGACAATGACCTCTCACTATTTAAAAGAGAAAACAACGGGATTAAAGCTTTTTTAAGATATCACTGAAGAGTCTTGCTATGCAGTCCTAAACATAGATTTATTAAAGTATTTTCGTGATGAACATTTCAATAGTTTTATTATCGTTTGAGCAATAGATGAACTGCTCATGTTCGATGGTGTGTAAATATTTATATTTTAATGTAGTAGCCATTAGGTAAAGAAAAGAAACGCACGCAGAGATGTTTATTGTTTCTATAAAAGGTTGATTCATAGTAAATGGATTTGTTTAAAGTAATTCGGTAAATTCATTTTCTCATCTTAATTGAAATCTTTTAACAAACACAGTCTTTACAATTTAAAAATGAAGCTGGGAAGTCAAGTAACAATTCTTCGATATTTATAATTCAGATCTAAATCACATGAAACTTTCAAAGGCCCTTTGTTCTGTTCTATTAATAATCTTTAGATTCATCGGATTCACAAATGAGCACGATGAAATTATAATCAGTGGGAGGAAAACTAGGAAATTACAAAATACCTCGATTAGTGCTGTAGAGAACTGCTTAATGACAGGGAAATCTTTCAAATCTGGATACAAGCACAAGAGTCTGACTTTCTATCCGTATATGCATACACCATGCCCAACTAGACAATATATAATAAAAAAGAACAGGAATGCATGTCTGCTGAAGCCTCGATTTTACCTGCTCCCGCTTCGAATCATTTTTTTTTTTTCAATAATCGAGGCTTTTATTGTGTATGCATAAATCTATATACGGATAGAAAGTCAGACTCCTATGAATCCTATGATACAAGCATCCAAATTGGCACAAATACTCCTTGGGACGTACGATTTTGAATAAGCCCATTAGCGGCCATTGTCAAGATTGTAGACTTTTGGGTAACGAAATTATCAATATTTGTGATAAAATCACACCAAATTGTCCTATTTTATTGATTCGGATAAAAATCGTGGCATCTGGAGAGTCCACAAACTGTGTACATAATTCACATTTTGCGTAAAAGAAAAGGAGACAATAACCCCAGAAGTTGTCGCCTGATGCATACCAAAATCGAAAACCGCCAAAATTTTAAGAGAGTCTCTGAAATGAGGTTCGGGTACGTATGAATGAAATTTAAGCGCAAAAATATAGAGGAATGTTGTATTTACCTTATCTCAAAATTTCAGCTCGAAATATTACGTCGTTTAAACGTGACCCACGAAACCGCTTATCCGGACTCGTAACTCTTTTAAGATTTCGGGGCAATTTTTTCGTTAGGTGACCTGATAATCTATTGCCGTTCTTTTAGAGGTCTATGCATTGCATGACCCACATGTTGTACTTGATAACGAAAGGAGGTCAATTTCACCTACACGTTATTTTTATAAAATAAAAGTCTGGTTTTATCCAGACGCCGTATAAAACGGCTTGAGACATCGGTCTTCATTTCCATTGAAAACGTATCACGTATATTGAGTATTTTAAGGGCTTTTAACACAAAATTAAGCAGTTATATTCTCCAAAATATAATCGAGATTGGCCCTTTAAGTTTCCTCTGAATGAAACCAAAAACTGTGACCCTAAAGGGTCCACAGACTTCGCACATATTTCACAATTATGGGTAAAAGGCAGTGACCATAATCCAAGAAATCGGATAAAAATTGTGACCCCTAGACTGTCCACAAACACAGGTGAACGGACATCCGGACGGACAGACAGTTAAAATGAATATATTGAAAATTTCAAATTACTTTATTCTGAGCGGAGTTATGGGTGTTCGAAGATATAGCGCAGATTGTTTATTATCGTAGCAACGGTACTAGACATTCGAAACTTAGTCTCGTTTTTCAAATTTATCGTTAAATTTTTAAATCTCGCAGGCGTTCTAATCCATTTAAATCTCGGCCATCCGATGGTCTATGGAGTTGATTATATGCTTGTCATGTTAAAAATGCCATAATAATAGTTTATATAACATTTGAAGACAAAATAGCGCTTAAATGTATCTTTAATAAATGACCCTAAACGGACACAGCCATGCAAATTGTAGTGCTTGTATTCAGATTTGAAAGAGTGTTATACACTTATCTGCCCAATTATTACCATTTATAGTTCTGTTGACCTTTTATACACAAGTAGGACGTTAAACTCAATTCCATTTCATTTCACGTGACAATCGATTTCAGCTTTTTCTAGACCATGGTTATCGATTTCAAGTTTTATTCTAGAAAGAAAACCGATCTCAATATTTTTAATAAAAAATGTAATTACAGAAAACAAACCATTGTAATTTCATGGATGTTTGCCCTCTAAGAATAAACCACCGTTTCTTTATATTTGTTAAATAAATAGATAATAATAAAGGACGGGGTTATCGTACTTTCTTCTGTCGATATATCATGATTAATGGTTTTATATAACAATAGCACGAGTCTTGACTCCTGTCAATCATGATACTTCCAGGACATAGTGTGACATATCGCAGACACGACAGTTTTCAGATTAACGTGCACTCGACATAATCTAGGTCATTTTGGGATTGACATGTTTTAATAATTCGCCGTGCGTAGGAACCTTTAGGTGTGAGAGGAATCCGGAGGACCTGGAGGAAACCCACGACGTTGGACGGGCGACCCTACTCCTTGTCACGCTCAAGCTAGGAACTTGACTCAATGACAGATCTTATGATATCACGCACACGTGTTCAACCATTTAACCACCCAATACCCCGAACTAAAATAAAAAGTGCCCTGATGGAAATGTTAGCTCTATATATATATCTGCATGCCAATGTCATTATAGCAACCCAAAGCCCCGGATTAAAAAAAAGCAACGAATAAGGACAAGTTCTCTGTATTTAATGACATATAAATTTAATATTGTTAGTGTGAGATTCGAGGCTAAAATCAGCCTGATTAGGACTACTGATACAATGGCCGCCGATCTTTAAATTAGTAAACGTCCAGCCTGATGCTGATGCTTTATTGGATCCTTGAATTTCGTTATGGAGACTGTCGTGGGTCGGTTGGGACTCGACGGACCAGTTGTTAAAATGCATATTGGTGACACTTCCGGTCGAGGCAGGATTCATCTTGAAGTAGACCAATCTAGGACACGAGCCTTCAATACGGATATCAGAAAAAACAATGTCACTGACTTTAAAGGATTTCGTGTCCCCAGCCAGATCAATGACGGCATCATTCCCACTGATATGACAGTTACTCCCCTTGAATGTACACCAGTCGGTGTGAATGACGTCGACGTCACTGATCCTTACTTTCTGCATGTCTCTTCCGCTCCACCAACCAAACTGAAACACAGCGCCATTTTGAGCCTGCCATACCACACATCGCCGGACGACCATATTGTCTGTATAAACCTAAGCGAGTAGAAATATCAGTACAGATTAACGACTTTACTACGGTAAATGAAATGGTGTTTAACGTTCTACTGTTCTGCACCAACCGGGATAACAAAGACGGGTAGCCTATATATACCCAATGTACGCTGAGGGACATTTTCCCGTGGCAGCGGCGTTTCCGTCTGTAATCACCTATTTCCAACTGTCTAGTGTTCTACTACGTGTACGCAAACGTGTACACGGGTCCATCCAGCCACTAGACCTCATTTTTTGCGAGTCCCTCTTTCTCTCAATATCGGAAGTCAAAATTTGGGCAGCTTGTGTAGGATCTTTAATCAACATATATAAAGAACTATCGTCTGGGAATAATTTTATATTAGACTTATATTTCGGCTATATAATTTATGTAGATACTAGATATGAAGAAGTGAGGAGCGAAAGAACCGATCCGTTCGAAACACCCGTTCTGGGAATAATTATATATTAGACTAATATTTCGGCTATATAACTTATGTAGATACTAGATATTGGCACCAACTGTCTCCGCACCGTCTCCGAGAATTGCCTATCGTTTGATTGGCAGACGATAACTCCGCCCACATATTCTCGATTATCAAGTAACATTCCCAATGCCTAAGGTACCCTCGATTATGAGTCTTTTCATCTGCAGTCTCCGGGAGTGACGCCAATGCTTAACGGTAAATGTTGTTATCTTGGTCAGCCATTTAATAATGCTCATCATCTGTTGGCTTTGAAAAGAAATGGTTTATGTCTATAAGTTGATTTATCGTTGAGTCTCCTTTCATAAACCACATTGGAACTTAGTTAATAGTAAATTGTCGCGGGGGGAGTTAAAAATATGGTTGTGTATACATTTTTCAAATATAAAGATAACATGATTCTCACATAATGCTCATCATGGCATCATCTGTTGCCTTTGAAAGAAATGATTGATTTATCGTTGAATCGCCTTTCTTAAAACCATTTTGCAACTTAGTTAATAGTGAATTGTCGAGGAGGAAGTTCAAAATATGCTTGGGTATACATTTTTTCAAATGTAAACATAACAATGAGACCGATCGATAGTTAGAACAATCTGATTTACTTTCTGTTTGCGTACAGCATGATCGCATATTGAGTGAAAGATTAACAAGGCAACATGGTTGAATAGAAATTTCATTAGCAATGGGCTTTGACAATTTAACACTAATATTATCTGGATTAGACGACATTGATACATCAATACAGTTAAGCATATATTTAACTCACTGTTATTAAATTAAAGAGCAGCTGTTCACCTAGTATCTCCAACTAAATTATCATGTCCCATACCATCTCGGGTTACCTAACTCTGACATCATGGAATCACCATGTCCTATGCAATCAGGGGTTACCTAAAGTCATGCTTATGGTGTTCGTGGACGTTTAAGGATTACCGAAAAAGCTTGTTATTACCTTAAAAGAATCGTCGTTGGCCCAGATGAACGTATCCTCAACTAGAGCATCGTGTCCCATTCCCACACCATCTGAATTAAACGTCCAGGGAGCTATCATTTTCACATTGCGGATGGTGTTGTGGTCACTAAGACCCCTGAAGAAATATTGTTCGGGGTCGACCATGACGATTCCTTCAATAACATGATTGCCTCCGTGGTCAAAGTTCAGCATTCCCCAGCTGAACCGATTGTCATGCCATTTGTAGGATCGCGTGGACAAGATTCCACGTCCTCGGAGAGTAACTCCATGATTAGCAGTCGCGAGAAAGCCTCCTTCAACCCAGGCACCAGGAGCTAAATAAATAATTTTTATGTTGTTATTTAGGTGCATCTGACCGTTCAAGTTGTGAACTCCGGCTTTGTAGAAGAGAACCGAGCTATCGTGTTCGTTTGGGACATTTGATTCTGGTGGATCTGCAAAAATCAGCATCTTGTCCTTAATGTCAGCATTGCTGCTCCCATAATCATAGTCAAACTCTACAGACATCATTCTGCTCGTGCCGCTTATAGTAACATGGGCTGTTTTACTTCCGGTCCTCTGGCATTTGTACCCGTAATGTTGCGGTCTGACGATACAGTTGTGAAAGTCGTGTGGAGTGTGGATCTCGGCGGTAACCGCGCCTCCCGAAAACGAGAAGGATGTCCACGAAACCGAACGCCCACCTTTGGCATGGGACACCTCTTTAGCACGCTGATCTGATGTGGTGATGTAGGTGAAACTGGATTTTCGGTTTCCACCTTGGCTAAGATAAACCTGAAACTTGCTGGATGCTTGGATTCCGTGAGGTGCAGGATATGTATTGAGGATACCTGATGCTTGCCCGACCAGTACCGGGATTAACAGAGCTAGAATCGTCTTCGTCACCATCATGTTGGGTCACTGAATACGTACCAGTGTCAAACAGGATATCTGACTTTTAATGGCAGCGTTCAAGGACTTATTTATATCTAATCAGAACATTTGTTATTTTCAACATTTTAAACAGATAATGGACGAATGGCAATACAATTGATAACATTGTTTTAAATACCAGTGACCTATTTGGCATGGCGTTCTACTCATGGGTTGGTTTCTTACAAGAATAAAAACAGTACCCGCGGCGCACATGGCATTTGAGGTCTAACGCAGGGGCTGTAAATAGGTGACGGGGACGCTATGATCATTTGCTTGAAAAAGATGAAATGAGAATATCTTTACAAACCAGTAAATGTTATTCAGTAAATAGTGTTTAGTTTTTATGCCATTGGATCTTGCTCATCGCCTAAAGATGTATTATGTAAGAGCCAAATCGGCCCAATGTAGGTTTTTATTCTGGATTCAGATGTTATTATTATTGAAACATTTATTAAAATGCCAAGCCCATAATCAACTCTCTCTAGATCACCAGCCTACCCCGATTGTAATTTAATACAGTAATTTATTTTAAAAATTAGATGATTGAGACTTTGTTTATCATCGTAACAATGGTACTTGACAATCGAGACCATACCGTGAAACCTTTAACGACTATTAACAACTCCGCTCAGAATATGGTTATTTGACTGAAATTTCCAATATATTCATTTTTCATTACCTATTTTTAAATTACAGTACTGGCCAAATTAATAGCAATTTTTTCTAAAAACGTTGCAGAATTAACTCACTAAAATTGAAGTATGAATAAAATCATACACCGTGAATATATTGAACTGAATATTCTTACACATAACCATATTGACATCTACTTCACATTGCATGGTTGGTCGACGCAACGCCGTGTATAGACAAAGTTGCGACAACTGTGAAGCCAGGATTTTCATATGACGTCATGCAAACTTATTATCTATTTATATGATCTATTATATTGTTGGATGTCATAGATTTCAGCGAATAAGTGTCTATAGGACATAAAACATACATTTTTTAAACGAAAAGTATAGCTGAACATACTATTATTGTTATATAGCCTTATTCTATAAGAAAAATCAAAATAAAAGATACACTAGATAAAAGTACTATTAAACATATTTAACTTGCATTCGCTTTTAAAGGAGCTAAATCGCTAATATTTGGGACCTAGAAATTGTCACAAATGGGTCGCACTAACAGCGACATTTGTTTCAGGCATATTTGTTTCATCGGTGACACGTCTGGTGTCATGTGAATGCAACGACAACAGCCTGATTGATTGATTTGTTGATTGGAGTTCAGATGTCTACATTAAAATCGACCACTTTCAGGTTGCCGTATTCACGGCCAGGCAAGACCGACTTGAAATGTCTAGAATTTTTTCTGGGGGAGAGAGGCCTAACAATTCCCCCCTTTTAGTTATCAAGCACCTGTTTTATGGGATAATCTACCATTTAGTTTAAGATGTTGTACATCTCTATATTCTTTTAAAAAACAACTTAAATCACATTTATTTAATGAGGCTTTTAACTGACTCTGTATACAATTGTTAACATATCCATAATCTTGTTGTTTATTTATGATTACATTGTCACTTAATTGTAAAGTGCCCCTGAACATGTTTTATGAAAGGGCGCGCTATAAATATGCTGTAATAATAATAATAATAATATTACCAAATTTGGCGGCCATTATGAAAGAAACGCCCGGCACCATATAAAAAATACTTCTTTTTTTTAATTGATGTTTGTCAAATTCGATTTTTCTGCACATTTCGCTTGCATAACCACTCTGTATTTGAGGAATTTAAAAAGAAATCATTTATAATCCAATGAGTAAATAGTAAAACACACTGATATATTTATCACTAAACCAAACTGCATTGGTTTCTTTTGCATTTTTTTTTTAGGGTAAAACGTTATATTATCCCTCAACGCCTAATACTACAAGAAAAAAACAAATTTTGGTATGTAAACCTGTATGAAGCCATGACATCATAGCATTTATGGCCTCATAATTGGGACCCAAAATGGCGCCTGGAAATGAGTTGTAACTTTCCCCACAGTCTACTCGCTCATGTGCTCATCGTTGTATACCAACTATCGTTGAAAAAATCAATTTACGTCGATTTTTGAACATTTTAAAAGCCGTAGTTCGATTCGGCGCCCAAGAAAAGATATAAATAAACACCAAAAACATGGAAATCAGTCAAGTTGAAGCGTTTTGGCGTAAAACACCTGTTTCGGCGAGATGACGTCATTGTGACGTCACACAGTCGTAATGACGTCATGCACGACCATTGAAATCATTGTTTTTTGAGTGTGCTTGTCCTGTATTCTCCCCAAAACGTAACTGATGTTCTTGTATTAGAGAATTCCCTAATGACCGTATTTCAAAAACGGCAAAAAAACAACATGACGGACGTCGATGACGTCATCAGCCGCTACGACGTCATGACGTCATCATCAATTACCTCGACCAACCATGCAATGTGAAGTAGATGTCAATATGGTTATGTGTAAGAATATTCAGTTCAATATATTCACGGTGTATGATTTTATCCATACTTCAAATTTAGTGAGTTAATTCTGCAACGTTTTTAGAAAAAAAATTGCTATTAATTTGGCCAGTACTGTATTATAGTAAGAACGCCCATAAACGCATCTTTAAAGTCAAATGACACCACACCCCTTGTGTAAAGATATGATGTCTAATGGAAACGTTCAAGGATTGGTTTATATCTAATCAGAACATTCTCTTACCTGTTGCAAAAACACGTACACGGTTCAATGCTATAAACTAAAATAAACATGAATTTGAAACTTGGTTTTATTTCAGTTAAACTATTTGGCTTACTCTGACGTAATTACCAACAAAGATCATACTGACTTCGCGGGGCCCAAACAGTTTGACTTCCAATGACGTATTTATGAACAACCTCGCACCGACTTCGCTGTGCCCAAACTGTTTCCCACTGCAGTTGGGATATCCTCCACTACGTGTCGGTAAACGAGACCCCGAACAGTGTATTAGAGAATATATCATTGAGTTAAGAACTGAACACACCCACTCCGCATTCTAGTCCCAGTAGCTTTGTATTAACGCCCGCTTCCGCTGAGGCTCATATCGCTACTAAGCTATGTGGTCTAATGTGTGAAATGGTATCAGGGGTCCAAAAACCAACTGCCCTAAAATTAAAGGGAGTTAAATAATATAAATCAAAAACAATGATATTCGTATATTAATATCAACATGTGTTGTCCTTAAACGATAAAACGGAATTATAGAGACAGTACATATTAAACATACATTATGTAAGAGCTAAATCCTACAGCTCCCGACATACCCTTCTCGTCACCGTCGTTGAGCCGCTGGTTTGAGGGGAAGGAGAGTGCCCGAGGCCGTGTCCCCGCTTCGCTATAAAAAAAGTTGATCGATCGAGATTCTAAATTGATTGATCGAGATAATTAAGTCGATAAATCGAGATAATTATTAAGTCGATGGATCGAGATAATTTTTAAGTCGATCGATCGAGATAATTTGGGAAAAATAAAATCATTGGATGTCCTTTCTCAGCCACCGTATGAACCAGTGTTTAGAACTGCTCATGTTAGATGGTGTGTAAATATTTATATTTTAATGTAGTAGTCATTAGATCAGGAAAAGAAACGTACGTGGAGATGTTTATTGTTTCTACAAAAGGTTGATTCAGTTATTATAGTAAATTGATTTGTTTAAAGTAATTCAGCCAAGTCATTTTCTCATCTTAATTGTAATCCTTTAACAAACACAGTCTTTACAATATAAAAATGAAGCTGGGAAGTCAAGTAACAATTCTTCGATATTTATAATTCATATCTAATTCACATGAAACTTTCAAAGGCCCTTTGTTCTGTTCTATTAATGATCTTTAGATTCAGCGGATCCACCAATGAGCACGAGGAAATTATAATTATTCGGAGGAAAACTAGGAAGTTACAAAACACCTCGATTAGTGCAAGCATATCAATTGGCATAAATACTTCTTGGGTCCTACGATTTTGACAAAGCCCATTAGGGGCTATTGCCAAGATGGTCGACTTTCGGATAACGAAATTATCAATATTCGTGATAAAATCACGCCAAAGTTTCCTATTTTATTGATTCGAATAAAAAATCGCGGCTTCGGAAAAGTCCACATAACCGGGTACATAATTCACATTTTACGTAAAAGAAAAGGATCATTACCATACAAATTGCCCCATGATGCATACCAAAATCGAAAACCGCCAGAATCTTTTGATCCTTAACATATATGTTAAGTTTCCTCTGATTGAAACTAATAACAGTGGCCCTGGCACGTATTTCACAATTATGGGTAAAAGGCAGTGGTCATAACCCTAGAAATCGGATAAAAATTGTTGAAACGGCTGACATAGACATATATTTGAAAGGGTGTTACAGTTATTCCCATTTAAAGCTCTGCCTGTTGACCTTCTACACACATGTAATAGTCCTGAATCTGCTATGGTTCTGTAGGAACATTTGAGTAGGGAGAAATGTTTAATAGGTTTGGACTTGGGTGGACACTCATCACGTGGTAGGTTATTTCCCTATGACGTCACCAAAGATGGCCACTGACGTTGTATCAATTTTATCATATCTGCTATAGTTTTATGTCAATGTCTATGAAATAAAGGTCAGAATGAAGCTGTTTAGGCGGACTAAAGTGAAAAATATATTTATTATTAAACTTGTATTACTTTTTCACGAAAACACATACCAATTTTTAAGTGACAACACGAATAAAGCTCTAAAATGTAAAATAAATGACACGTTAAAATTAATCCCAATAGTATAACAATAAGAAATTCGTTGATAACACTCAAAAGGATTTTTAAAAGTTCCACCATACATTTACAAAATAAACAGCGGGATAACTAATTGGCTCTGCAAATACAGAACGCCTTTGCACATTTTACACAGATGCAAGCTGAAGCACCAATAAAGTCTTCGGGATACTTTTGTAAATTGAATTGCGGAATCAAACCATTTTTGAATATTTCAAAGCCCAATTGACATGGATCTAAATGGATGATTAAATTATCAAGACAATGTCGTAGGTAGTATGTATAAAAATATGATCTTAATATTAATAACCGAGTGGAATCTCTCACGCATATTCCAGCGCCCGGATTCGAAATGCAGTTACCAAACATATTCCTAGCGCGAATAAAAACCTATATACATGTATATAATTTATCAGGATAATAATTGTCACTTTTATATTAGAAAATAACATTTTAAGACATATCAAAGATACCTTCCCGCGTACAAACTGGGTGGTCAGATGCTATATTTGGACTAAAAACATATTCAATCTAATTAATCTATCAAAACTTTGCTTCAAATCCTTCTCAAAACATTGTATTCGCGAAGAAATAACCTAAGGTATAAAAAATCTATTAAAAAAAAGTCATATTTGTGTCACGTGACTTGGCTGACGCGTACCTTCGCGTGCAGCCGTTGACGTCACTCGAGCAGATATCCCAAATCGTCGGGTTGCCGGTTAATGAAGTCCTTATACTTTCGTATACACTCCATTGATGTTTTCTGGGAATCCTGTAGGCTATTTTTCAAGTAAGATTGGATGTTTCTACTTTAAACTAAAATTGCTATAATTTTATTGGAAATAACCACCCGATAAATACTTTTGTGGGAAAGCATCTTTGATGCAAGTATATATAATAGACAAGTATATATAATGCCAATTTCATTAGAACAACCCAAGCCCCCGAATTAATATAAAGCAACGAATAAGGACAAGTTCTCTGTATTTAATGACATATAAATTTAATATTGTTAGTGTGAGATTCAAGTCTAAAATCAGCCTGATTAGGACTACTGATACAATGACCGCCGATCTTTAAATTAGTAAACGTCCAGCCTGATATTGGCGCTTTATTGGCTCCTTGTATTTCGTTATGGAGATGGTCGTGGGTCGTTTGGGACTCGACGGACCAGTTGTTAAAATGCATATTGGTGACACTTCCGGTCGAGGAAGGGTTCATCTTGAAGTACACTAATCTAGGACATGAACCTTCAATACGGATATTAGAAAAAACAATGTCACTGACATTAAAGGATTTCGTTTTGTTCCCACCCAGATCAATGATTGCATTATTCGTACTGAGATGACACTTACGCCCCTTAAATGTACACCAGTCGGTGTGAATGACGTCGACGTCACTGATCCTTATTTTCTTCGCGTATCTTTTCTTCCACCATCCGAACTGAAACACGGCGCCATTTTGAGCCTGCCAGACCACACATCGTCTGACGACCATATTGTCTTTATAAACCTAAGTGAGAAGAGATATCAGTATAGATTAACGGCTTTAGGTGAGCAAATGAAATGGAATGGGGTTTAACGTTCTACTTTTTCACACCAATCGGGATAATAAAGACGGCCATACATGCGCCATACGCGATGATGCAATTTCGCCATGACAATGTCGTTTCTGTCTACTTTTCATCTAATCGCAACTGTCTAAGGTTTCTTTTCCGTGTACGTCAACATGTACACGGGGCCACCCGAACGACTAGACCAAAGTGTTTGCAAGCCCCCCTCCCCCATCCTACACCACTGACACGGGGAAACCGGACTGGAATACTCCGAGCGGGAATACTACTTTATCAGCCAACTCCTGGTAGATAAATACTAATAGGGTAAGATACCTTGTAGAAATATTCTCTTGTATTATGTCTGTCGATATTCCTATTAGAGATTTATTTTTCACAATATTGTAGTTTGCAATATTAATTATGCAGCCAAATTGGCACGTCCTGTCTATGCAAACAAGTGCAATTCATATCAACCGAAAAACATTTCTAACGCAAACCGTAAAATTGTCGTCGGTGGTCCAGATGAACGAACCTTCCTCTACGCAGTATGCCTCTTTCCCATACCATCTTGGATTACATAACTATATAAAAGCTCTTACTCAGGTGTTTGTATAAGTGTATGAGTTCTATAAACTGAATAAGATTTTGTTATTACCTTAAAAGAATCGTCGTTAGCCCAGATGAACGTATCTTCAACTAACCCATCACGTCCTATTGCCACACCATCTGAATTATGCGCCCAGGGAGCTATCATCTTCACGTTGCGGATGGTGTTGTAGCCACTAAGACCTCTAAAGAAAAATCGTTGGGGATCGACCATGACAATCCCTTCTACAACATGATTGTCTCCTTTGTCGAAGTTCAGCGTTGCCCAGAGGAACTCTTCGTCACGCCACTTGTAGGATCGTGTGGACAAGATTCCACGTCCTCGGAGCGTAACCCGATGATTAGCTGTTGTGAGAAAGCCCCCTTCAACCCAGGCACCAGGAGCTAAATAAATAGTTTTTATGTTGTTATTTAGGTGCATCTGGCCGTTCAAGTTGTGAACTCCGGCTTTGTAGAAGAGAACCGAGCTATCGTGTTCGTTTGGAACATTTGATTCTGGTGGATCCGCAAAAATCAGCATCTTGTCCTTAATGTCAACATTGATGCTCCCATAATCATAGTCAAACTCAACAGACATCATTCTGCTCGTGCTGCTTATTGTAACATGGGCTGTTTTACTTCCGGTCCTCTGGCATTTGTATCCGTAATGTTGCGGTCTGACGATACAGTTCTGAAAGTCGTGTGGAGTGTGGATCTCGGCGGTAACAGCGCTTCCCGAAAACGAGAAGGATGTCCACGAAACCGAACGCCCACCTTTGGTTTTGGGCGTCTCTGTAGCACGCTGAGCTGATGTGGTGATGTAGGTGAAACTGGATTGTCTTTGTCCACCTTGACTAAGATAAACCCGAAACTTGTTGGATGCCTGGATTCCACGAGGCGCAGGATATGTATTGAGGTTACCAAATGCTTGTCTGATCAGGAACTGGACTAACAGAGCTAGAATCGTCTTCGTCGCCATCATTTTGGGTCACTAAATAAGTACCAATGTCAAACAGAATATTTGATTTATATTGTAGCCCAGAATGGAAATGTCTTGGATTCTGATTGGTCGGAAATTGGCGTTGAATGAGTATAACAGTGCTCTAAATTTCCTGGGCGACTCACACTTCGAATGGATATTTTCTGGGTACTAGACTCCCTTTGCAGTAGCCACAAATTCTACACCTCAAAAGAAAATCTTCATAAAATTTTGCTTGTATGCCATCAACAATGAAATTCAACCACTGTCTTATTTAAACACACACCTGAAACAAAAAAATACAAAATTAGGGAGTTTATTTAAAAGATAATAAGTTAATTTCATTTTAAGGCTGGTCTGACAATAATGGTTGCTATGGTCATTACGTCATATTCAGACTGGTAAAATTCGAAGATTTTTAACAAGTGAATAAAAATACTACAAATTATTGAACTCCCTATGGACCATAAACAACTGATAGTAATATATTCTAAACAAAAATACAAGACGGACTGGTACTGGTACACAGTGTTTTTTGCGAAAATAAAAAAAAAATCACCAAAGTGGCTGTTTTTTACGAACCCGTAATCCAATATTGGTAGGCTATTTTTTTACGACACTTCCACTCGCGCATGCGTATCGGGAAAATAGTGGACTTTTACGGTGCAATCGTGGTTAGAGCGTCGCGGGTTCGCCGATGATCGCCGTTGCCAAACCAATAGATCTCAACAGAAACCACATAAGCGAGGAGAATTCGTGACGGGCTCCCCCGTTAGAACGCGGTATAATCGAACAGGTCGCGGTAAGATGGCGACTTTTTTTAAGTTTGAAATTTTTTGCGGACATTTTCTGGCGTTGTGTTCACGTTTGCCACTGACCTTGTACATTTTCTGGTCGCCGTAAGGTCGCACCAGCGCAGTACGGACGCCACCCCGGTCTGACGGGGGCATTAAATCAATGTAAACAAACCAGGTCACACAATAGGATTCAATGGGAATGATATCGATGAACTAAATCTCTTTAATTTCGCAATTTTATTGTTTTTTCGGTAACAAACACTATTTAGAATTATCACTTACAATCATGATATTTGTGTGTATATTTCGGGAATTTATAAAACACGATTTATATTTTTAAAACGCGCATAAACGGTGCGGAGCGTGGTACGTTCCGGACTGAAACTGAGATAAGTTACGAATTAGTCTAGGGCGTAAATTATTGTCGATTTTTAAAAGTTTATTAACGAAACCTTCAAATATAACGAAACATCTTTTTAAACCTACAAATACAACGAAACATATTTTTAAACCTTCAAATACAAGGAACTTCTTTTTAAAACTTCAAACACAGCGAAACATCTGTTTAGTACAACAAAACATCTTTTAAACCTTCAAACACAACGAAATGTCCTTTTAAACCTTCAAACACAACGAAACGACTTTTTAAACCTTCAAACACAACGAAATGGCCTCTAAAAACTACTAACACAACGAAACGGCTTTTTAAACCTTAAAATTCGATGAAACGGCTTTTTGAACCTTCAAACAGAAAGAAACGTCTTTTTTTAAATACAAGGAACTTCTTTTTAAAACTTCAAACACAGCGAAACATCTGTTTAGTACAACAAAACATCTTTTAAACCTTCAAACACAACGAAATGTCCTTTTAAACCTTCAAACACAGCGAAACGTCTTTTTAAACCTTCAAACACAACGAATATGTTATTTCTTAACAAGTATGAGTGTACGATGGAGCAAGAACGAACATGGCACGTGAAGAAACGAGAAGTGACGCCAAACATGACAAACACGAGTTGTCCTTCTATATAACAGACTGAAGTAACGAGCGGTAACAGACAAACGATGGAGCAAGAACGAACATGGCACGTGAAGAAACGAGAAGTGACGCCAAACATGACAAACACGAGTTGTCCTTCTATATAACAGACTGAAGTAACGAGCGGTAACAGACAAACGATCGAATTTCATTTCACTGATAATTCCATTGAAGTTGAAAAGTTATTATATGGGACGGTGAGAGGGTATCTCGCAATTCAAAAATAGAATTGGCTGTCACTAGATAAGAGACACGAGAAAAAGTAGAAAAATCCCGTACATTTCCCCGTTTTTATTCATTCTGTTCTTAATAAAAACATGGTAATGCACGGACTTTTTCTTATTTGTTCGTTATCTGTTATCTACTGACAGCCAATTCTTTTTTTGAATTGTCAGATATCCTCTCATCGACTCATATAACAACTTTTCATCTTCAACGGAATTATCAGTGAAATGAAATTCGATCGTTTGTCTGTTACCGCTCGTTACTTCAGTCAGTTATATAGAAGGACAACTCATGTTTGTCATGTTTGACGTCACTTCCCGTTTCTTCACGTACTTGTTACAAGTCTCCCGTAGCAATGATCTCTGTGTTAAAATTATATTTGGGATGTATTTAACGAGCTCTATCACATATTTTATAATGACTGACACCAATATTGTCCTTTAACAAATTGACATGTCATATCATTATGAAAACCCAGCCTCCGAAAACACTAATTATTATTTAGTGTTCCGTTTCAGTGGGCACCAAACTTAATTAAATATACATTATGTAAGATTTAGATAAAGAGCTGACCTTTCTTGCTGTAATATTTTGAAAATTTCATTCAAATTTCTTAATTCTGAGCGAAGCTATAATGACTTGATTATCCATTTTTTGGTCTGTAATTCTTTAAATCTCAATCGCTTTTCAATCCATTTACATCTCGGTCATCCGATCGCCTAGAGAGTTCATTGTGGGCTTGTCATGTTAATAACTGCCAAAATAAATATCTGAAGTAGGCAGATTTAGCTCTTACACAGTGCACCCTTAATCTCGTTTACATAGAACTATGTTAACTGTCCCTGGGTGGATTCGATTATTATCGAAGGCAAGGAGCATCGGCATCCATTTTACGTGTATCATATGATTGGAATATATTAAGTAAATTATGTAAATGAATCGATGAATATTACAGATAATAATAGAAACTTCCCTGACTTATCTTGTCAACTCCCAAATTCATCATGGTTCGCCAAACCGACATCAAATTTGAATGATTGAATAATTCCGTATAACCAGTATTACTTACTTTCAGTAGAGTTTTCGAACGGATCGGAAAACAAATATAACAAATAAGTTCAAATGAAACACTTAATGAGAATAAAACATGACACGATTACAGTAATACAAGTTATTTAAAAGTTTAAGTTTTGACGAGGTTTCTCTCGTCTTTAACACAAACGATGTAATTTCGGGACTATCATTTGGTACATTTTGAAATGTTTAGTTAGGTATTTAGCATTAGGAGCAATCCCACGAGGTTAGACAAGTTAGAGATTGAGATCACGTCACTTGATTCAATGAAAGACTTTACGACCTAAGTGCACGAGAGAAACCACTCGGTCACGCAACATCCCGCAAAGAAAATTTTTCTTCATATCAAAATCACTTAAAATCGCCAAGAATACTCCAAACATCAATTTTCACGATTTAAATTCAATACCCAAAAATAAAATAACGACAAAAACAGTGAAAGCTTATCTTACTGTTAAAATCAGTACCTCCTCTTGTCGCACCGATTAGAACAAAGACTTATTATCTAATACTGTAGATATTGAAGTGCGTAGACCGTATTAAAGTCTTGTCGAGAATGTATGATAATAAACTGTGGTATTGTTAGGGCGAGGTTCAACTTTTTAAGTGTCATATGGTGGTGTAAGAAAGTGGCGGATCCATTTATTACTATGTTTCTATGAAACGTGTAAATTTAGCTTTGTATTAGTACGGGTGATTTAGCTGATGATATTGAATGTCATGTGGTTCTTAGAATTAGAAATAAGTGTTGGCCGTAGAGCTGCTGTCGGGGCAAAATTCATCTCATAGCAAACTGCATGGCGTTTGCCCATTTTCATTAGCACAGTAGGAAGATTAAATCCCCTTTCCATTTCATTGCTAGATGCGATCCACAAATCAAGGGCCTCCTTAATAGAAATCCCACCTCCGCCGTTTGAGTAAGTATAGCTGGATATCTATCTGTCGATATCATCATATTGTAGGCTGACACTCACCAGTACATACTTGACCTCTATATAACAATCTTTATTAAACTTCCACCAAACAAACAATACAGGATGGGTATGGGCAATATTAGGCCTGCAGACAAAATGCGGAAAATATAATGGATAAGGGAACATACGGAATTTTGGAAATCCATTTACGGTAAAAGGGATTATCGCCCAATAAACATAATTTATTCGATAAACTGAAAAGGTTTTAACTACAAACAAGGGCCTATATAAGATCAACCTTTTTTCAAATAGGATTTGAAGCTAAAGTTCTAACAAATATTTAAACTGAAACATAGCATCTACAGATGTTTAGTTTTCTCACTAAAATAGATATGGCCAAAACTAAATAATACTGTAATGGGAGTGACAATATTGTAATGAAGAGAAAAAAAATCAAATGGAGTTTAATGTCGTACTGCTTTGCACTAACCCGTACAATGAAGACGAGCATACGCAATACATTATAGTTCTTGGGGTGTTGGGGGGCTGTTGGTGTACAGCTATTATTCCTGCTTTCCATGGCAAGTGTTATCAGTGTGCAATTTTTTATAATGAATTAACAGTATCACATTGTGATTCAATTTCATTGATACAAAGCATTAATTGTGATATTACACATGTCTATATCATTATTTCCCGCTTTGAATGCCAAGCCCATCCCACCATCTGAAGATAAAGGATAAAGCACACGAAACGACCGTTAGTCTGGAGGCCCAGTACGGGGGGATGTCCATCAAATGGTTACAAAACCAAACCCAACTCTTCTATAGTAAAATTTTGCGTAGAATACGTTGCCGAATGGTAATCAAATACGCCGTTGGGGCGATTTCGAGACATTTGGGGTCCAAGGTCAAATAATAATAATGAGTATATTTATAATGCGCTATATCCATAAACCAAGTTTATGCTCAAAGCGCTACACAATTATTGTCCCGGTCTCTAGGATACAGGTAAAGCCTGATTACCTCCCTTTACCCCCGAACTCTTAGAAAGAGCCCCAACATATGCTGCTTCAAGGAGCGCAACTGGCGCAACTGTTTTTTGTATCACCATCCTACCGGTACCCATTTACAGCTGGGTAGACTGGAATACAGGGATAAAGTGTCTTATTCAAGGACACAAGAACTCGGCGCACAATTCGGGTCACGAATCTGCAACCATTCGGTCACAAATCCTACTCTCTAACCATTGCACCAAATCCCTCCCCAATGAAATGAGGTCATTTGCATTGAAAGGGAATGCGCAGACATTCTTGTTTCATGAAAACATGCGGTAAATGATCAAACGTAATCACCCATTCAATAAAAATGTAAACTTGCTAAATTCACGTTTGTTTTTTTGTGACCCCAGAGAACCAAAAGTCAAATTTTCTGTTTTTGCACTAGGAAGATTTAAAGCAATAAATGTCAGTGTAAAATACAAAAACTAAAGCGAAACCTGTTCTAATTAATAATATGAACATTTAAAATTTATCTTTAGGTGGTCATAGCACCGTACGTTTACTTTCGAATGTCGAAAAAGATCAAAACACTGTATTAATATTGCTAGAATTTTTGCTCTTATAATTAATGATAGCATTAAATTGTATTAAATAATATCTCTAGCAAGTTAATGGATTCACATATTTGTTCTTTAACTTAGGTTAGCGAGTGAGTGACAGATGACATTAAAAAGAGTTATAATGTGGTAAACATTCAATTCTAGGTTGATAACAGATATCTCATGGGAAGTTTCTCCAGTAAATTTCCATTACCATATAAGGGGTGGGCTTCGACGTCATTTGGCTCAATTAACCAATCTCTCTAATTATTTACATCATATTTGACCAATTAGATAATTGAAGGTCCAAAACCCAAGCTACAAAACTATTATATTTGTGAGCAATCGCCAGACAAAAGACAGATTATGGAAGGGAAAAGATGTTAAAGTTTCTATCAGCAGTCTCGCCCAACGAGTCTGGCTGAAGGAGGTTTGAGAGAATGACTTTATTCTATTATGTATTGTATCCATATGTAAGCAGCTATATGGTATATAAAATGTAAAAACGAACTGTAGCATTGTTATTCCTGGAAAGACAAACGTCTTAAGAAAACAGTAAGAAGTATATACACAACGTGAAGCAGAAGCAAAGACAGCTAGAGACAAATTCTAGATGATCACAAGACTACTAAGATATGTAGTAAGAAAAGATGCATGGGTCGTACGTAGGATGTGGCGACCGGTTTCCATCGCCCGCTCGTCACGTCTGACGAAAGGCCCATGGTGCTACAACACTTCGAAATCTGTTTCAGAAATACGTAAAAACTGTCAAATCAAAATCTCTCCGATTCAGTTTCACAACGATTGCTATACTAGTTGTCCGAAAAAAACAATTGAATAATTTCAAGGTTGGACTATAGAACTGTTGAGTCTGGTTTTGTGCTCATTTGATGCCCCCCCCCCTCCGCACTGAGCCCCCGGTCTATTACACGTTTCTCATAAAGTGTTTTTTTTACAATTTTTGTTATGTAGCTGAGGGTGGGGTTTGGACCCCCCCCCCCTTCCCCTTGGGATCTGCCCCTGCTTGGGCCACTTCAGCTAAGGAAATATCCATTGGGCCTTATGTCATTCCAGCTAAGAAATATCCATTGGGACTTATGTTATGCCACGCCAGCTGAGTAAATGCAACTGGGACTTTCTGTTACGATATTTATTGCATCACAACATCCATTAAGGACATCATGCCTACGTAATTGCATTAAACGTAATTGCATAATTATAATAATTAAAAGAAAATACAAAACAAAGATCAAACAAGATATTTATTGCAACAAAACATCCATTAATTACAGCATGCACACATGAATATTTAATCGAATATTACATGAATCCATACCCGACAGAGCCACGTTTTGTGCTTAACGAGAGCTGGACAATAACTTTATACATCAATACATCGGAAAATGTAAATTTTATTGAAATGTTTTTTTTTTTTGATACCGCAATAATCCAATATATCGCTTTCCCAAATAATATTCACTGAACAATATTATATTTTATTGATACATATGTAAGCTTGACCTTACAATGATTTAAATTTACATGTCTCTCATAGAAATTTGTTTGAGGGATTTGCCACCTCTATCCGAGCCACATCTACGTTGGCAGAATGTTTGCACCATGTACAGACCCCCCCCCCCCACACACACACACACACACACGCACACCAAAAAAAAAAAAAAAAAAAATTAGAAACACTTACTATATACAAATAATATCTCAACGCGTTTTACAATGTTGTAGATAGAATTTGAAGTAACATTGCTAAACATTTAAAAATACTCTTTAAATAAAAACGGTTTAAGCGATGATTTAAAGGACTCGTATTTTTCAATATTTCTAATTGTAGCCGGTAATTCCTTCCAAGCCTTCGGTGCGCTGTACATAAATGTTCTATCCACATATGTTTTGTTCGACTTCATAGTTGACAAGTTGAGTCTGATAGCTCTTTTAAATACACAGGAGCGGAATTTTAAAGCGACATATTTGTACAATGGGAAGCCAGAGTAGGTTCATGGAGACATGTCCGAGTCATCAGCCTTCTTGTATTTGAACAAAAACCGAGACAACCCCGGTCTTCCCGTCATTTAATGCTAGCATATTCGCTCGCATCCAACGCCGAATTTCATCCACACAGGTCTCAATAAAAGCTTGAACAGTGTGATCCATCCTAGTTTCTCAACAGATGTACAATTGGGTGTCATCGGCATAGTATGAAGACACTGTCTGACAATGATATCCTCGAGTGGGGCAACATACAGTGAGAACGGTTCCGGTCTGAGAACTGAACTTTGAGGTACACCGTAGTCCAGACGTGCCTCACCCGATATAAACCAATTATACCAAAGCTTTGTGCGCGCGGTGCTGAATGAACGAGTTTATCCTTTCCAGGACTGCTTACCCCAGTCCAAAACGTGTTTGCAAACGTTGACTGAGAATATCATGGTGAATTGTGTCGAACGCCGTTGACCGAGCTAATAGCACTAGGATGAGCGCTAGCTTAACGTCGTTTGGCTCGAAAAAAAAAACAGTTTTCTAAAAGCTTATCCAGAAATAAGCAGTCGGAGCAGAACAGTAGGACGATTTATTGCAGTAATTATTGACTGCTTAAGAAGCGGTTTCAGACGAGTTAATTATCTGTCCCTTAAGGCATCAAGGCTACAAATCGACTCCAGTAAGCTCCACGCAGCCCTAAATTCACCCGTTTCGGACCTTTAAATGAAATAAATATAAATATTGACCTTTGTGCGCCCACGGGGTTTTGCTTCCCATAAGAAAATCGTATATATGCGGGAAGAGGGGGGGGGGGCACGAGTGGTGTGCGTATTATATTCGATAATATCAAAATGAAATGGGGTTTAACGTCCTACTGTTCAGTTCAGCCGCGACTGGGCTAATGAGGACGACCATACGCCATACGGTGTGCTATGAGGGACATTTTTAAAAGGACATCGGCGCTACGGCCTACTCTTATATATAATTCCGACTGTCAAGGGATCTTTTACGTGCACGCCAATATGTACACGGGACCTCGG